TAAGCCTGAGCATGTTTAAAATCATTCCATCTACTATTTAAGTAAATCCATTGTAGGTGCTTATGAGTGCATGCTGATTAACAGAGAAAATAATAGCAGGTGGGAGAGAGAAGGAAAAAAAAAAAAGGTGCCAGCACTGGAGAATGCTGACATTCTGGTACCAGCAATGGTAGCAAGAAAATGACCAGCAATGTCACATAGTAATTACGGCATCCCAGTGAGTTTGAGCATCAGAAACTCCCTGTGTGTTTCAGAGGCAAGGCACCATGAAAACTAAAGGTAGCTTATGATTTTTAATCACTTAGCATCCAAGCACACCTGTGACTCTGTCTTGGCGAGCGGCTATAGAGGCATGGGCTCACCATCACCACCAGCATCATCAGCTAGAGAACATTCCTTTTGTTTGTCGCCCTTCGGACCAATCATTGCCTCAGGCGTTCCTGAATCCTGCAGCAACAGTTCTGCTTAAATCCTAAGCACGAATCCATCCTCCCCCGGGATTCTGCCACAGAGAAGACTGTTGGTAATTTTTTTAAAACGCTCATTAAAAAGCATTCTGAAACTATTTTATTTCCTGGATGAAAATGGCATCACATTAGCCCTACCAGACCTGTCCCTGAAATTTAGAAGAAAATTGTGCAGAAATACAGAGTTCATTTACTCAAGTAAGCACACACCTGCTTTTTGCATTACAGAATGGTTCTATTTTCATCCCAGCAGCTGTCCCTGGGTCTGAGTTACATAAATGAATAATGCATTTAATATGTTATTAAGTGGGGCTGCTACCTCCATAATAACAAGGCAACTTATGATTATGTTGGACCTAAGCTCTGAATATTACTGGGATGCATTTAGTTGGTAAAGCATTCTTCAGTTCACCAAGAAAAGTGCTTTGTAATGGCAAGGGGATCTTTGTACAATTACTGAAAAGGAAACATTCTGCAAATGTGCCTTTGATATTACCGACCGCTCATCAGTAGATAGTGTCTTATTACTTCAACAGCCCCAACTTCAACCATTCTCTTCCTTCCCATCCCGAAACCCCTTTGTCACCTTTTCCTTTTTACCCCCACCTTCTTTGATTTTTCTTCTGTGCTTCCTGCCAGTCTTAACACAGATCAAGGACATAGTTTTTCTTTGTGAGTGTGAAACTGGAAAAAAGCCATGAAGGACTTCATAGTCTGTGATTTTGTTATTTAGTAGTTTTTTTGGTTTCTCTTGTGATTTGGGGGTGGTGATGGAATATGGATGTTTATGACTATCCACTGTATGTTAAGGAGACAGTATGGTCTAGCTCAGTAGACTGCAACCCTGTCTGTCCTTTAGATTCACTTGCTGGAACTTTTAAAACAAATGGATGTCAAGATCCTGCTCCCAGCGGTCTTGATTTAATTGGTAATTAATTATGTTATGATTTTATTGAGAATTCTGGGCATTAGTGTGTTTTTGTTTTTGTTCTAAGTTCCCATGGTGATTCTTGTGTGCATCCTGAATTAAAGACCACTGCCCTGGTGGTTAAAACTAGTGTTGTAGAACCAAACTGCCTGAGTTTAAATTCAGGTACTTACTGTATGAACCTGGGCAGTTACCCAATCTTTCTCTAATGCTTGGGTTCTCTGACTATCAAATAGGTACAATTACAGAATCTTTTCAATAACATTCTTGGGAGGATTAAATGAGATACTGCATTGAAAAGGGCTTAGCCTGAAGTCTGGTGCATTGTTAGAAACTTAATAAATACTAAAATATCAGTAATTAGTTAAAAAGTTAGTATTTAAAGTATTAAACATCAACTTGCTATTATACAGCAAGTTCCCAGAAAATAGAAGTGGCACTCTTATTGCCAAGATAATCTTAAAATCAAATCGGACCACGTCAATTTCTTTTTTGGATGCATTCACAACTTCCCGTGGGATTATTCAAAGAGCGTCAGGTTGAAGTTTTAAATACAGTCCGCAATCTCTCCTCAGTTCATTTTTCCAGTTTCAGCTCTTTCCCAACATGCTTCCTGAGCCCAGGCCATACTCCAGACTGCATGCCTTCTTTTTTCCTGTGCTGTTCGTTCTTTCTGGGATGTTCTTTCCTCCCGTCAAGCTTTTATTCATTCTTTAAAACTCAGATTAGAATACATGTTTCTCTGTGAAGTTGTCTCTTGCCTTTTTAGAGTAGTTATCACACGTCATGACCAAGCTATAGCTGGGACTGTAGGTCTTCTTGAAGCAAGGCAGGTCTTAACTGTCACTGAGCTATGGTGTCCCTCGTTTGTGCTCACAATGTGAAGAATTTAAATGGTTTATTTTCTTGGATCGTACTACGTGCCTTTGCTTTCAAGGGAAAAGTGCTGTGTTACAACCCTCAACAAAACAAATAATGGAGCAAGCCTTAGGGATAGAGAAGGGGACTAGCTGTGGCTACAGAGTATGACTAAGACTTAAAATCTTCCTAGACCCAATGTGCCCATGTTTCAAAAACAGCAACAACAACAACAAAAAACCATGTGTAGTAGCCTTAACACCTTAACTTAACACCTGTAACAACCTTAACATTCAGAAAGAATGTGGTTCCATGGCTGACTGAGCAGGTTCTACGAGTTTCTCTCTTCAAAGGAACAGTTCTCAGGACTTTTCCTTTAAAGTGAGTAAGCAACCTTGGGATTAGGAGACCAGGAGGAGACTAGGTGAAGTGACAAAATTTTCCTTTTTTTAGGCAGGGTGGAAGCATAAGTCTTTTATTTTGACTAGTAAATGGAATGTGACTTTATTTTGAATGTCAACTTGATGAAACGGGACATATGGCCACACTAAACTAAATGACTTAAAATCAAGAATCATGAGAATGACTCATGGAATCCACAATCTGAGTCAACGAGTTGCACAACTAATTTATATAAAGAAATTTTCCTTCTTTTTGAGCACCTGCAGTCCTAGGAATCCTAATACTGAGTCATTCCAAATTGGTCATGGACATGTCAGAGTCTGAAGGGATAGCAGAGATCATCCAATACGACCCCTCCATTTTTCACATGAGTAAAAGCAGACAGACTTTAGATTTTGCCAAGGTAACCTGATCACCATGGGAGGTGATCAGTGGCTCTGGGCCTCTGGACTGAGTTTGGTGTCTCTTGCCATTGTGCCATACCACCTGGATGAGAGTAGCCGACACCACTGACATGGGCAACAACAGCTACGTGAGGATCTAGGTCTCCACATAGCAACATTCACCTTCTTCTTCAATCCCTGACCCCAATGTCATCCCATGAAAATATAGAAGACCATATCTAAGCAAGGTGCTCTAAAGAGTCAACTTCATAGCCACAGACATTTCTTGAGTGTCTGCTGTGACACTGCATGGCTCTTTGCTAGAGAACCTCCACACGGGCCCCTGCTGTGTTGTCTGTAAATTATGCAAGTGGTTTCCTTTCTGTGGACTGTAAACACATGCACCACTTTTCAGACCAATTATTCTCCATGATGCACACTGACAAATCTTGCTGAGCAGATCAGACTGAACATCAAAATCGCCTCCAGGCACAGGAGTGGGGTCATCTGGGAAAAAACCACAGACAACCCTCAAAGCCCTTGGAAATAGCAACTCTAGGGCAATGGCAGGTTAGCTGGGGTCTAATGTTCTCGTGGCTGATACAGAAAGGAGTATGTTTCTATAAAGCATTTTTAAAACATTCCAAATGTATGTTGATAGTATGGAATTACCATTTTGCTAGAATTTAGGTATATATATATATATTTTCCTAGACCCACAAAATGTTCTTACATAGATACTGAATTAATGTTAAAAATTAATGCTAAAATTAATGCTAAAAATCTTTTTTAAGCCTCCTGAGTAAATATCTTCATAGTATATTAAGAAACTAACCCTGAGGAACAATAAGAGCTGTCATTGCACATTCTTTTGGGAGGGATTAATGGCTTCTCAAAAGAAACTCCATAGACGGAAATTTCTATACACATTCTTTTTTTTAACACATCTAGAAATATCTCTAGCTTAATAGCAAGAAGAAATCTGTCCCCTGAGAAGATTATCTTGGTTTCTTATAATAAACCAGCCCAATGCCCACTTTATTTTATATTTACAGAATCTTTTTCGGTTGGCATGAAACAAGCAATGTCCTAGTTAATTTAGCAACTTAAATTTGCAGCATGTTCCCTGGATCCAAAACCGTATAAACAAGATTTAACCATCTATAAGTACAACTAGAGATTGTGCTTTGTGTGTGTGCAAACAGAGATATTTATAGACACAGATGGAGAAACAAAGAGAACCAAATTCAGGGTAATTTCAGCACTAAAATGCAAGAAAATACACGAAGGAATACTGATTTCATTCTATTTGGACAAAAGGAACTTTTTCACTCATCAGGTAAATGTGTTATCTGCCTTGAGTGGTGGAGAGGGACACACATGTTTTGATGCCTAATAGTTTTTAATCATGTGACTTTATGAGTGTATGCAGGTGATCATTTGTTTTACAGATGAAAAAAAAAAAACGGGCTTAGATTAAATATGTCCTAGATCTCAGTGCTGCAGTGACTATTAAGGGTCAAATAAATGTCAGGACTATAGATACACAACAATGTCTCCCCTCTTCTTTACTTCACTCTAGAGGAGCCCTTAGATGATGACTATTGGTGATGGTATCTGCATTTTGCAAAGTGACTACTATCTGCTATATACTGGGCTACATGCTTTATATACAGTGCCACATTTAAGTCAAAGCAGGTATCAAGAGCAGATAGCAAAATTTTATAGGTAAGAGGTAAAGGCTCAAAGAAAGGAAGCCACTTGCTAAGATAACAGTAAATGGCAGAAGTCATTTAAAACCCTTACTTGTTTCATTCTAAAATAACTCTCTTTTTTCACCAGACAAAACAACCCCATTATATTTCATTTCCTGCCCATAACAGGCTGTGGCCTCAGTATCAGCCTCCTGGCTTTCCATGGACTGGTGTGGGGAAGGTGTGAGGGCAAAGGCAGGGAGCTTACACTGGAGAACATGGAAGAACTTCGCTCACATGTGGTCCCATGGTGTGAACCCTAGAAATCAGACGCCACTGGACCAAGGGCCGAGGACTAAGGACAGGTAGCGCCAGCCTCCTGGAGGAACATTTTGCACTCATTTCAGCTCTTATTCCAACTCTCTTTTCTAAGACCTAGCCAAGAACTAAAACAAAAGTTGCACGACTGTTCATGTCTATACAGAAATGCTGATAAAAATTTTGGCATCTCCCAAAAATAGTATTTCTATTAGGCATAATAACAACCGATGCTAGACTTTCTCCATTCTGGTGAAGTAAGCAAACCTGTGGACACTGCTATATATACCAGGGTAATAAGGTGACTGTGAAGGCAACCATAACCATTTATAAAGTGAGGTATTACAAAAAATAAAAGGAAAAGGAAGGTTCACCTAGATGCTTTGAACTAAACTCTCAGAAGGTGCTGCTGGGAGATTTGCTTGTTAAACTTCACTGACAAGGGGCAGTCGTTCAATAGGCCCTTTCAAAAGTTCAAGTTCTGATGCATATCTGCACTATGGGCTCTGCTGGAAGGGGTGCGGTGAAGTAAAGGGGCACCTGGGGAGTACAACAGATGGATGCTCTTATTCGCAGGCTGACCTTGCCCTTGTGATTCCTCTGTACTTCGTCCTGGCCTGATGCCAATAGAGGATCCATACTGACAGAGCACGGGATGCCCACAGATGGCTAAAGCTGACAGGGGAGAGACTGAGGGTGCACGGGGGCTCCTTAGTCTATGGTCGACTTCCAGGCACTGGCATCAGTTGACCCTTTCAGCCGGATCATCTCTTACTCCTTCTGCCTGAAGTGACCTTCCTTACTTTACTTTGGGAAATCCCACTCAGCTTTCCCTTATGGAATCCACTGGCATTTGTATTTTAAAGGAGGATGGCAGTTAATACAAATGAATCTGTAATGTGTGGGACTCCTGGCCGTCTGTGAGCCAGAAGCTAGTGTTTTAATCCTTTGGGGGAAATATTTGGTGTGCCTGGATCCTCAGGTCTAAGAAGTAAGCAGTTGGCTGGGTGGGATTTGCTTTACAAGTTAGCAGAAACACTTCTAATTGCCAAAAGAGAATCCAATTATCTTTGTGTGTTTTTATAACAATTATTATGGTACGAGGATGTTAATTGCAACAATGTTTATAGCAGCTAAAAACAGAAAATAACCCAAATGTCCATGACAGGGGATGACAAAGCAATACCAGGTGCTTTAATACTCTCAAATTAAAAGAAATTAGATGGAAGATAGCCCTATATACTCTGTCTTAGAAAGTTGTTTAAGACATATTTCTGAATGAAAAGCAAAATAGAAAAATAATATATCTAGTAGGAAATGAAAGAACAACCTCCCAAATTAATTTTGTATATTTTTTCTCAGCATAAGTATTTGCTGGCAAATGCAAAGTGTCTGGAAGCATGCATACCAAAGAGATCACAGTTGTGCAGGAAAAGGGGGCAGGATAGGAGGTGATGATCTAAATTGGTTTTTTAAAGATTTTATTTACTTATTTGACAGAGAGAGACAGCGAGAGAGGGAACACAAGCAGGGGGAGTGGGAGAGGGAGAAGCAGGCTCCCCGCTGAGCAGGGAGCCCGATGCAGGGCTCGATCCCACGACCCTGGGACCATGACCTGAGCCGAAGGCAGACGCTTAACTCCTGAGCCACCCAGGCGCCCCTAAATTGGTTTTTTAAACAGAAAACATATGTATATATTTTTTTCATAATTAAATATTTTTAAGTGAAAAGCTCAATGTTCAATGGCAGCAGTAAAGTGGTTACAACATTAAAAACTAAGTCTGTGCTCATGAAATGCCACTGAGTCCACACACAGCCCAGGGCTTCTGGGGTAAAGGGCTGGAGGGACATTGCATTCTTTTCCAATTTCATCTATACTTTACCTCTTGCCAACTTTTGAGTTGTCTACAGACACAGTAAATAGCAATTTGATGGGATGAGGTCTTCTTTGAAGATGATTTCAGGCACCTGTACCAGCTAAGGGTCTTCTTGTCCTTAATGCAGAATGTATAAGGAGGCAATATGCCCATCGGTGGGGTTACTATTCATACCCCTCCCCCGACCTTTAGCCCCCAGGGCCCTGTGAGGGTGATCACTCCTCCACCTGTGAGCACCTCGCTTTTGAGAGCAAGGCATTCATCCTCCCTGCTGATGGCTGGAATTTATCCCTCTTCTTTACACAAGCTCACTCACTGATGTGGATGCTTTTCTGGAAAAAGTCTGAATGGAACAGATGAAACCAGTAGATGTGGTAACTTTACAAAAATTTTTTTGGGTCATACGCTATCATGTAATACCCACTTATATGAACAACGCTCTGAGAGTGGAGGTGAGCCCTAGGGAATAATCCTGTGATTCTGTGATTAATAAACATCACTGCATTGACAAACATTTATCTATCTGAACACTTATTGCTGAATCACATTTTTTTGTGATAGATAGAGAGAGAGATAGACAGATAGATAGAGAGAGAGCACAAGTAGGCAGAGTGGCAGACAGAAGGAGAGGGAGAATCAGGCTCTCTGCTGAGCAGGGAGCTGGACGTGGGGCTCGATCCCGGGACCCCAGGATCATGACCTGAGCCGAAGGCAGCCGCTTAACCGACTGAGCCACCCAGGCGCCCCTGCTGAATCACATTTTTAATTGAAATTTTAATTTTATAGGGCATAGATGAAAAAATCCCATTGGATAGATTATTTATTATGATTTAATCATTTCTGATGTTTTATTTTATAGGAGTCAGGGTTTACTTGAATTTCACATACTAAGTTTGTACCAAAGGAATGGGGAAACCTATTTAAGGGTAGCCTAAAATGTGTGTGTGTGTGTGTGTGTGTGTTTATTCTCAATATATTGAAGAGTGAGGGTCATAGCCTACACTCTGCCTTATTCCAGTGACTTGAGTAGCACGTGGAATAATTTAGACCCCTCTGTACTGGGACTCCCCTCATCAATACCAAAGAGAAAATGATCTAACTTGCTTGACTGACTTAGTGAAAAAAAAAATCAATGCAGAGACTAGCATTAGGGGTTCCCAGTGCTCTTTACAATGTCTAAACATGCTGGTGCATGCAAGTAGTAAAACTCAGTTCTCTGGCACTCCTTCACCATTAAGTATACTCATTTCAGCAGCCCCCTTTCTGGTTTCCCACGGTGCTCCATGCTGAAGGCCTCACTGACCCACTGCTGTAAAAATGTCATTTGTATTTTCCTCGGGTTTTATGTTATAGTACAAATAAGTCACAGCTTATTCCTATATTCAAAAGTTCTAGGAATCCCTAACCACAGAGATAAGAACATTTGAGGGTACAAGTCTGTGTTGTTTCCCTCCTTTAGAAGAGTAGTATATAATATTATGGTAATTTTTTTTCTTAATTAAAAAACTTTTTAGGGGCACCTGGGTGGCTCAGATGGTTGAGTGTCTGCCTTCGGCTCAGGTGGTGATTCCAGGGTCCTGGGATCGAGCCCCACGTTGGGCTCCTGGCTCAGCGGGGAGCCTGCTTCTCCATCTCCCTCTGCCTCTGCCCCTGCTCATGCTCTCTCTCTCTCTGTGTCTCAAATGAATAAAATCTTTAAAAAAAAAACTTTTTAAACATTTCAAATACAGAAGCACACAAATGGAAATGTGGATGTCCTCACCTCTGTCCTGCCACAGGCATGAGAAATGAGAAGAGCAATTTTCAAATGGGACGGGCCTGCTGGTGAGGCATCCCCCTTCCTCCTACCTCCCTTCCTTAGTTCCTCTCTTTCTCATGTTTTAAGATCAGGATTTTCAAATATACACAAATGAGAGGAAAGAGTATAATAAATACCCCTGCCCTCCATTAATTCACTTTCAAAGATTTTCAACACCTGTTTTTTTAACATTTTAAAACAAATGTCATACATCATGTATCTTTAAAAGATAAGGTTTCGGGACGCCTGGGTGGCTCAGTCGGTTAAGCGTCTGCCTTCGGCTCAGGTCGTGATCCCAGGGTCCTGGGATCGAGCCCCTGTGGTGTCGGGCTCCCTGCTCAGCGGGGAGTCTGCTTCTCCCTCTCCCCCTGCTGCTCTCCCTGCTTGTGCTCGCTCTCTCTGACAAATAAATAAATAATTAATTAAATAATAAGTTTTCTTTTTTTTTAGTCATCCAAAATACCATTATTGCACACAAATATATAACTATATTTAGTTAACACAATGAATATAATATAAATATTTATACCTAGATATAACCTGTGATAGTTAAGTTTATGTGTCGATTTGACTCGGCCATGTGTGCTCAGGCATTTGGTCAAACATTATTCAGGGTGATTCTGTGAGGGTTGTTTTTGATAAGCTTAGCATTCAAAATAGAAGACAGAGTAAAGCAGATTGCTCTCCCAATGTGGGTGGGCCTTGTCTAATATGTTAAAGGTCTCAATAGAAGAAAAAGGCTTACCCTTTCCTGCGCAAGAGGGAATTCTTTTTGCCTGACTGTCTTCAAACTGGAAATTTGCCTTTTTTCCTGCCTTCACACTTATGCTGAAACACTGGCTCCTCCTGGGTTTTGAGCCTTCAGACTTGGACTAGAAACAAACCATCAGCTCTCCTTGGCGTCCAGCTTGCCAAGGTACTTCGCAGATTTTGGGACTTGGACTTGCCATTTCCATAATCATGTGATCCAATTCCTTATAATGAATACACACACACACACACACATATATATATAATATCTATACACCTATATGATCTCCTATTGATTCTCTTTCTCTGGGTATCCCTGATTAATACATTACCTAATCACCAGACCATATTCCATTTCTCCAAATGGCTCAAAGATGTCTTTTTACGTACTGCTTGAATTTGAATCCAAATAAGTTCCACATAATATTTTTGAAGTCTATAAACATCAACTCCACTTGTGGAAAAGTCACAAAATGTTTTCTCTTCTATGGTATTTCTTAAATAATATTGGATAAGCCCTGCAACTCAAAACATTAAACACAAACTTTTAGAATCTGATTCCATATTTATAAAGATCAGAATGTATGCCTTAAACGTATCAAGACTGGACATAGGATGAAAATGAAACCCGTTTCAACTAACAGCAGGGTACTCTTGAAAAGTCAATGAGCTTCTTTGTTCGCTCTATCTTCCGCATCTATAAAATAGGAAATGCACCTATGAAATATTTACTTGGCCCCCTTCACAGAGATGCAGTGAGCGGGGAAAGGGAGTTCACAGAAATAGTTCTGAAACAAAGTATCAAAAAGTGAAGAAATGTATAGATTATCATCATCATCTTCATCCAAGGAACCGGTTTTGTTTCTTTATTTGCAACTGAAGTCTTATTCTCAGATGAAAATTGCACTATTAATACAAATCTGGGCTGCATTACTAACAGGAACAAAAACAAATACACTGTGCTGTAATGAAAAAGACCTGGTCTTCGATCAGACGTGATTCTGTAAGTTTAACACCAGCTGAAAAACAGCGGAGGTTGACCTCTCAAGGTCACCACCTCAGACACTCACCCAGTACTGTTGAGATAACTCTGTCCCAACCTGCAGTCCTTTGACAGAGAAGATGGATTGAACCAAAATGCTGGCAGACACTGACCATTGCTGTGTCGCTCATACCCATAGTCACTGTGGGGGAAAGAGCCAAGAGAGACCTTTCAGTAGGTGGCAAAATTACTGAGAACAGTTTCATGGTAACACACAGCCAACTTCTACTCTAGCCAATGAGTCAAAAAAGAAGAATTCACTGAATCAATACCTTTCCAAAAATGCAACTGTTCTTTCCCCTGTGGAATATCTATCAATTATTTACCCATGACAATATCCTACGAGACCCATTTCCAGAAAGGCTGACGTGAAAGCAACAGAGAAGCCTGTGTAGAGACGGAGGCTCAATGATCAATAATTCCAAGTAAACGGCTTTAGGCTGAGAGAGTAGATTACGTGCTCATGAGGAGTCCACAATACTGCCGGTGGTTGGGCCCCAAGAAAGCTGCAGTTAGAAAGCAGGCAACGGTGGAAGCTCAAGCCTCAGTGCACACATCACTGAAGAAACACAGCCACACGTGGCACAGTTTTATTACTGGTGATGTCTTTGGGGTGCTCTTTCAAGACATCTGGATCTACTAAGCACAGCTGAGCCAGGTCTCTCTGTGCACGCTCCATATGCTTCAGAGTCACAGCACAAAAGGAAATATCCTTCAGGGGTGTCACGGGCACTCCCCCAAGGAAAAGTTTTGCCCCAGTCAGTTAGCATCGTCAGTTGGGACTAACTGCTTTAAATCCTCTCCGTAGTTGGGAAAGAGTCAAAGACTCTTCTCTCCATCTCTTCTCTTTCTTGCCTCCAGGGGCCTCTGCATGGCCTGATATTCTTGGCTTCTGGAGGAAGAACTTGGGCACAGAGGATGACAACAAATTGCACCTCCACATGCACAGACAAATCGCAGACAGTAACCAGCAAGCAGTAGTATGAATTGGCCCATCTGTGTAATGGAGGTGAGATGCTGGCACACAAGGGGCAGGAAGGGAGAAACAGGCTTAGCCAAGGGGCCTGTCACCAGGCAGCTGGCACTTAGAATTCTGCACACATCAGCTGTACTTGGTGCTGGTTCAACACGGCATGGATAGGAAGACTTCAGAAATGCTGCCTACAGGACACCCGGCATTCATTTCAGGGAATTATTTTACAAATGCTGAAGAATGGCAGGCAAGGTCATCTGGGGGACTGTCCAGGGGACAGCCAAGCTGAGAGGGAACATTTAGTGACAACCATCTTTTATTATACTGCAGTCAAGTGGTATCACCGAAGCTCTAGCTACTGTAGGTAGAGACTCAACAAGGTCATGGTGAGTCTTCCAAAATATTTTTAGAAATCATGCACTAAATAAAAATCCCATTTGACCAGAAAACCTTACAATGGCCTCATTTATGATTCATTACCCACTTCTCAGAATACATTTCAGTTAGTGGAATGAGTAGCAGATTCCTATCACAAATGAATACAAGAATTGGGCCAAGACTGTAGGGGAGTGAGAGATAAGGGACGGGAGAAGCCTAATTGCCTCCCTTACCCCATGTTCCTTTCACTCTAGACTAGCTTAAAACTGGAAAAGAAAAACAACACATGACAATGACAACAAGAAAAGACCAGCTTATTTTGGAACCTTGTAGAAAAGATGCCCCCCCAAACAGTATTTTCAGGAAAAATCGGGGAATCGGACGTCTAATCTCACTTTTTCTCTTTGCTTCTCTACCAGCATAAATTTGCTCTTTACAAAAGGATGACTGTGTGGTAAGGCTGAAGTTAAATGACTAAGATAAAATGTTAACCTCCTTTACAAACTCTCCTTGAATAGAGGGGATAAAGGAGAAGCAGTCAGAAAGAGGGATGGGATGAGGGACTTTAAAATTCCATGGAAGTTTTCCCTGTGACTGCGTTTCAGGGTGTCAATCCTGAAAGGTAGGGCAGGGATAGGATACTTTTATCATTGTTAATAATGATGCACTGGCTAAAACAGAAGTTACAGCTGGGAAGGCCCTTGCAGAATTCCTTGTGAGCTCCAATGTAACTGAAGTTCTATTGCCCTCTGGCTGAGCCCAAGAAATACAGCACTGGATCTTGGCTAGCCTTGTCTACTAACAAGAGGGGAACAGCCTTGGGTTATCAGACTGAGTACTGGTGGCCGATTCTGGCAGGACTGCACAGGACTATTTATTCAGAGAATGTCTCCAGAGGTCTACCATGAGAGAAGACTTACTTTTTCTAAGCCATATGATGTGTATTGCACACAGTATCTCAGCCCACTCGCTGATATTTTGATGATCAGATAAGTGATCTGTGATTGCTATACAGGCAGATATCCAATATTAAAAGAATGACTTGGTTTCTTATGTGGGCTAAGTTTCAATCATTTAACATTGACATATATATTCAGCAATTGCTTTCTCTAAACCAAAACATATACATAAATTTAAAGCAAAAGGAAGAAAAGAAGAAAAAAAGGCATTAAATGAGATGGAGATGATGCAAGGAGTTACCACCTACTCATCCTCAATCATTTCCAACCTCACCTGAAGGCCAAACCCCAACCTAGAATGGAGCAAGGGAAGCACCGACCTCACAGGCCAGCTTTCTGCTTACCAAAGGCTATAGAAAGAATGCTAGGGCGCTCAAATATCTAGTCCTTTCCAGTTTATACTAGCTGAATCCTGGAAGAGGGACAAGTCTTCTGTACCACCAGGTCCACAGAATCACAGATTGCCAACACCACTGAATCAATCCTTGCACTGAAGTCAGAAAAGTCTTCCACACCTTGCACAAGCAATTGTCAGCTAACTAACCACTGACTGAAAACTTCCAGGGACAGCAAATCTACTGCCTTATAAGGTGATTGTTCCAGTACCAAGAGGAACCAAGAGTCTAGGAAGACTTTACCTTGAGCACGGATATATTTGCTGTCTAAAAAGTCAACTTATTGTTTTCAGTGTTGTTGTCTGAAGCAACTCAGGATGGATATGGTCTCTTTTTTTGTCCTAAGATCTATCAGATATGTGAAGCTAATTATCAGCCATCTTATGAATCCTCTTTCAGTCGGAAGAAATTCCTAGTTTTTCCATATACACATGCACGTAGCTAATAAACCGTGTTGTCTTCAAGAGGTAATTTCACAAGAATATGAGGCTTGTGAGAGCATAGGTGTATGCTACTATTATTTCAAATCTCAGCTTTCATTAAGACCCATGTGAATTTGATATACGGAATGACTCCACGGAATAACAGCAAAGCTTACCAGTCAAAATCAGCCTCTGTGCAGACACAGGGTTCAGATTCCATAGCTCCTGCATATTTTCCTTGCATACACTTACGCTCTGATTTTCGCTTCTTATATATCCTCTTTGCTCCCATGATGCATGCTTCCCCCTATAAGGACAAAAGGATCTCAGACAGTTGGACACATAGCTTGGACCCTCCCTGCTCCACATCAGGGGACTTGGGGAGATATTCCCAAGCCTTAGTGTAATCTGGACACAGGTAGCCTGCTTTGTGCTAATGGCATTTTATTTTGATGTCTAGAACCCTAGTGTAGAATGCAACTATAAAGACAATTCTAAGAAGCATGGAGGGTGTGTCAAAAAACATCCTTAACTCCTCATGTATTCAGCAAACCTTCGCTTGTCAAGGTATGAGGCACCGTGCTATGAGGGACACACAGTCAACTCAGACTCAGCCTATAACGACTGTATTGCCAACAAATCTATGGTAATTAAGTTCAATTCATCTATAATGAAAGATTTATGTGCTTGGTCATTTATGAGCATATGAAAGAAGAGTATTGCTAAAAAGTATAAAGATCTATTTTGCCTTGATTTATTATGCCTCTGCCCACACAACTTTATAGCACTGATTTTAATGTCCATCTACCAGACAAGTGAGAGAACTAAACTCAGTGTTTCTCCACAATAAAAGCTTTGAGTATCACAGTGCCTGTGGATCCCAAAAGGGAAAATAACAGTGATATAAATGAGCAATAATTTTATTGTTGAGTCTCCAAAAAGAGTATATGATTCTAGCGGATGCAGCCCCAACTGTCAAACACAGCTTTCTGTCTGAAAGACAGAAAAGAGTTTTGTCTCTTGAACAAATTCACTTTAACCAGCTCTATCGCATATACACATCTTTATTAAATATATTCCAGTTGACCCTTGAGCAACGCAGGAGTTAGAGGTATTGACCCTCTCACACAGTCGAAAATCCCATGTATAACTTTTGATTCCCCAAAAACTTAACTACTAATAGCTTACCTCTGACTGGAAGCCTTACTGATAACATAAATAGTCAATGAACACAGATTTTGTATATTTTATGTATTGCGTGCTGTATTCTTACAATAAAGTAAGCCAGAGAAAAGAAAATATTAAGAAAATCATAAGGAAGAGAAAATACATTTACAGCACTGGACTGTATTTATTGAAAAAGAAAATCTGCATGTAAGTGGATACGTGCAGTTCAAACCCATGTTGTTAAAGGGTCCAGTGTACTTAGCCTAGGTTTAGGGATATAATATGTCACTGCCTGGATATGGCGATGGCTATGCACGGGGAACCTCTGCTACGTCCTTGGAGGGCCCTGCAGAATGACTTCCACCTTGGGAAATCAAAGGAAAGATGCTTTTAGCTAAGCATTCTGATACAAGCTGATCATCTGAGGGGCCAGAATGAAGGAAAGTGTCCTACTAATGATTCTGCATCCTCTTATCACGAGTACCTTGGAAGGAGGCAAGAAGCACTGCCTAATCCCCGGGAATCACAGGGTGACAAGGAAGGATTTTACTGGCACCGCTCACCGAGGGTTAATTTTATAATTTTATGTCTCTCTTTGCATTGCTCGATAAAACTGAAGATCCTTTCCTCACCCCTGCCCCTACCCTGCATCCACACTACATGCTCAGATAAATTGTTTGGATCTGTATGCTGAGCTGGTATTTCATTTTGAGTCGTAAGTTTAAGCCAAGCACATTTGAATTTTATCTCATTATATCCTAGGATAATAAAAAAAAGAAATTACTTTACAACAAGCCATAAATGTTGAGTTTGTTCACTGCTGTGGAACACAAAACATGTAAGAAAGCAGTCGATGTAGCTTCCGATGTAGCCGGAGAGGTAAATTGTGGCCGTGAGGACCCCGATTCCTACACCTACCTGATGCCCCATGCCTTCCACCCAGGACTGCACTTCAGCTTGGCGCTTCCTACCTGGCTGTGCAGCTGCCACGGTCTGTAGTCCTCCTCGGCACACCGTCGGTCGAAAACAGACTTGTAGTCCACTTTGACCAGCTGCCATTCCGAGCGGTGGCTGAAGTGTCCAAACACGCTACACAGTTCATAACGAGAAAAATAATCAAAATCGGAGCAACTCCAGTAGCCGGCTTGTGCCGGGTGTTGACCACGAGTTTAGCACAATGCTCAACGCGTTACATTGAGCAGATCACTTAATCCTCAAAACACACTGACGAGGGGGGTTACTATTATTGGCTCCGTGTCACCCATGAGTAATTTGAGGCTCAGAGAGTTTCGCTAACATGCAAAAAACCAAAGTCAAACCGCTAAGAACTGGTCGAGTCAGAACCCAGAACCAGGTAAAGTCTGACGAAAAATCCACTTCTGCATATTGCACCACAAGAATGGCTGACAAGAAAAAAAAATTTAAGAAAACAATCGCAAGTGCTGCCTTCTACGTGGTGCAGGATTACACTTCTGGGTTCCCTTGCTAAGGTCTGTGGTTCCCACGGTTTTTGTGCTATTTCACCTTCCCGCCAGTCCCTGGGGAGTGTGGGCAGCAGGGCCAGGGCGGGGAGTGAGAACTGTGTCCTGCACTCTGCATCCTCTCCTTACTCAAACTCGGGTATCTAATGAGGTGTTTGAATCACCAGTTATAGCCATCTGTGGAGAAAAGCCACGAAGTAGCCTTTTTCATCTGCGTTCTGCAAATATGAAAACTGAATAAAGACAAATTATGGAACAAATTGCTAATCTGGGTGTTTGTTCGGTGGGCAAAAGTGCAGCTATTGGGCATACTAAATTTTTGTTGATCTTTTCTATCATTAAAAGAAGGGAAGAAAAAATGAGAAAAAATTAGAACTAGTATCAACTATTTGCTATGACTTTTAAATTTTCATTGATGACAGGGTTGAGTACTTTAAAACCTTCTGTCTATTTTCCATGTCCAATTTTCCAGGGGAAGAAAAAAACCCCTCACAGTTTCATGTTTCAAATTCCAAGTTCATGTTTTGAAACCCTTAAGCAGGCAACTCATTAATCAAGTCTTTCACAAATTAATGATCATCACTTTCCAGACAAGAATGAGTGCAAATACAATTTCACAAGAACAGATTGTTCTCCCGGTTTTTCTAATATAGCCTCACAAGTGGGTTAGGTAAAGAGCCAGGGAAAAAGAAAATCCTTTGTGGGGTTTTGATCAAGCTCTGTGTTCTGCCTTAAAGTGAAATCATTCTTTTACGCCTGTGATTTTCTGTATATTGAGTTTATTATTAAAAGTTTTAAATTTATAGTTTATTTTCTATTGAAATAATCATTTCTAATTTCCCTAGACCCATTCATAGAAAGAAATAAGTTGTGCCCTTCTGCTGCCAGCCCTCAGTGTGGGTGTCCTAATTAGTAAAGAGCCAAGAAAATGGCCACCCACATTTTTCTTTCCCCTTTGCTGGGAAACCATGAAGTCAGATGTACTAACCTTGCTGGCAATTTCAAATTTAACAGTAGCAAAGTGACTAGGATTTGCTAAAAACAACATGTTTCTGGGGGCACCTGTGTGGCTCAGTCCATTAGGTGTCCGGATCTTGGTTTCGACTCAGGTGGAGATCTCAAGGCTGTGAGATCAAGCCCCACCTGGGGCTCTGTGCATGGCACGGAGTCTGCTTGAGATTCTCTGCCTCTGCCTCTGCCCCTCCCCCTGCTCATGCTCTCTCACTCTCTCAAATAAATGAATAAATAAAATCTTGAAAAATAAAACAATATACAACATGTTTCTGGATTTATATTTTGAGATTAGAAGACATCATACTTTTCCACTTACGTCATGATTAGGGTCTCCTCCCCAGGCTCACCCAGAACCCCATCCACAAAAAGTGGAATAGATGTGAAACTGTATTTGCTCCAAGATCTCCCTTCATCAAAACTCAACCTAATGAAAGAAAAAATAGCAGGCATCAGATCTCAAAAGAAAAAAAAATCCTTTCAGAGGAAAGATACTATCAGCCAAGAGAGAATACATTTTAAAAGTACCTGGGGCACTGTCACAGTGAGCCTTTATATGAATAACTATTCTTAATTACATCAGAAGGTAGAAATACAGTTAGCCAAGCGATCTGGGACCCAGATGTGTTATAACAGCCTTAAGGGGAGAGCTGCATGAAATGGGAATAATAATAAGTCTTTGATAGAATTTTTTTTTAATTTGGATATTTTATTAGATCTTAGATCTCAATGTGACCCTCTCCAAAACCTCACTGCAATCTAGCAGCAAGCCTTACTGGTGATTCTGAAGAGCAAATGGCCTCATTGGACGTACTTAGATGGATTTGGACCAGCTGCCTCTAAGTGAGCAAATCCTGAGCGGCTTCCCTCCTACCCTGTTATGAATCCTAGCTGAGTCATTGAGGGAGGGGGTACAAAAGGACTGGCTCTTGGGAGTAAGAGAGGTCTGCAACTCTGCTGGTCACACAGGATGTTTCCTTCGCTCTGCCTTTCTCTGTGGATGTCGTCCCCCAAGCTAAGCCTACGTGTCTCTTATTTCGGCAGCTTTCCTGTAGTCTCCAAAGTAACTAGCACCAGAGGGAAAATCATGCTTTTGGTTTTGAACAAGCTTGCCTGTGGAGAGAGGCCCTTTCAAAAACACAGATGAAGGAGGCTACTGGAAAGCATTCTGGAAGTTAGGCCTTGCACATCCATCTGTGTGAGACCTACAGGTAGAGTTGTGGATTGTCCCCCCACCCGCCCAAAGGAAGCGAAGTAAGTAGGATCAGGGGAAAGCAGACAGAAAGAAACAGTGCCCTGCACTGCTGATCTCTGTGCAGAACGCACATAATGAATACATGTTAAGCTACTCCTAACTTCTCCCCATTGTACCTGACACGCCACTGTACCTGGGAGTGTGCTGAAGGAATAAGGCAGGTACTAGAGAAGGTACTGGCATATGTGAAAACCATCATGCAACTCCTCTCTCAGGGGCACAATCGATCTCAAACTCTCTCTCTCTCCCCTTCCCTCCTCCCTTCCCTTCTTCTATCTCCTTTCCTCCTTCTTTTGTGAAACTTCAGGCAATAATCTTATTTTAATAGAGCGAAGGTATAAATTGTGTTCCGGTAGACGTTGATGTTTTACTACAAACACAGTCCCCATCTGACAGCCTGACTCCTCAACTGGGCTTAGTGGTACGGAGCCATCCGGTCCAGGACTCATGATTTACCAGAGATGTCGAATCGGGAGAGACGTGTGCTTCATAGCAACCAGGACTCCACCCTGATCCAGATACAAAATACTGTGCTCTTCTTCAAAGATCTGCAAGAGGGAAACACATCCACATGAACACACATCCACGCCCACACATGCCCAGAGTTCAGAGAATTAGTCTTCGTCTGAGGAGATAAATCCCTCCCGTGATAGAACAGGGTTTCCCAAAAATCTTTGGAAAGACAGTTATAAACAATGCTTCCCAAGGTGGGCCGCACGTACCATTGGAGTTAGATAAAATGATTTTAGGTGTGCCACAAAAGAAATCTGAAGAATTAATAGTTATGTATTCATGTTTATATTCTCATCTTTTTGTGGTAAGTTCTGTTGATTCCCACTGATGACGATATCAGAATACTGGGTAACCATCCTATTGTGTAACATCTTTAGAAGGAAGAAACCTTAGAGATACTTTACTCCAACATTCTCATTTTGACAGGTTTAGAGAGATGTGACATGCCTAAGGCCATGCATAGAGTGACTCACGGGGCTGGGACTTGCCTCATTACAATGCCCTGTCCAGAGGAAATTATTTCAGTTTCCAAGTATTACAGAGGAAACCTGTTCTTGTTCAATTCAGATTCTCTATCAAGTCTAAAGTAGTTCTTCTGATCAAAATGGAATCAACTTGGGTACATGTGTCCTTTCGGTTTTTCTCCAGATGTGGAGAAATCAACTTGAAGTCCAGTGCAGACGGGCCGCAAACAATTTCTGTGTCCTCTCCATACGAGACGTGTGCTCTTTTCTCATAATTGCATTGTTGGTATTGCCTTGTCTGTGGCTACACTACAGACATAATTATTTTCCCCCTTGTTTACCTCTTATACCTCAGAGGTATCCCAGGACTACGGATGTGGGAGCTCTCTGCTTGGTTTGGGGTGCCGGAAGAAACAAAATGGGATCCTGGCTCTTGAACTGTTCTCCAGAAGCAGATTAATAGTCCATATTCCTACATACCTACCTCCAAGACCAATATCCCTGGGGTTTCTTAAGCAAATTTCTTTCCGCCTCGCTCTTCTCAAACCATGTGAATCACACGGAGGGCCTACGAAGGGTCTGAAGCTAGGAAATGGTAACTGGACCATAACATGGACATCTCTGTCTAAAATTTAAAGCAGAGTGTTCTCATTTCTTTGTGATTACCTGTGCATTAGATTTCAATTTACGGTGCTTGCTAGTTATTGTATGATAATTAAACGTCAGTAGGTTATTAAAATATATTTATTGAAGTGTAACAACCATGCATTAGGCACATATCTTGTTATGACTGCTAAACCTCATTAAATGTCTGTTTTATAAGCTATGGGTATCTAATTTTCATTCAGAAGAAAGAGAGGAAGCATTTAAGCTAAACACGTTGGCTTAAAGAGATTCCATTTCTACCTTTCAAAACATATGCACCCACCCTGATGGTTATTACTCTGTCTTCTGCACGTGAAATTTAAACATTTCAAAATACCACCTGGGTAACGGCTGTTTCTGTATCACTGCATTCCTCTCTATTCTGACTCCAAGGCAAGGGGAATTTATGGAGGCAACTCAGTGTTGGGTATATAATCTACCCTTCAGACTCTGTGTTCCCTATACAATAACCTCTTTGGGATCCTGGTTTTCTTTGTGGGAAAAAAAATTCAGTCAGATCCAATTTGGTTTCACTGCCACTTATAAACTTTCTTACATAAAGGCTCTGAAAAAAGGGTCATTTTTATTGAATGGCAAAAACTCACATTGCATAAATATTTGCTAAACTCAAAGTGTTACTTAAGACTCTCATAAAACAAAAAGGAAACACACTGACGAGCTTTAGGATTTACATATAGCCGAATGAGTTCCCAGAATTTAACCAAGCTGAACAATGTTTATGTCATTTAAACCACAGCAACTAGACCCAGGATGCCGTCTTACCTGCCTCCAGGTGTTCCCTGCATCTGAAGAGACAAACATGCTGATGTCACTGTCTGATAATTCAGAACCGATATTACCTAGAGAGAGCATGTCACCATTAGTGAAAGGAGCTGTTTGTAAAAGCTAACAATGGGCTCTACTGGCAATCTATGCTGCCCAAGATGGACCGAGACTGTCAACACTGTATGTGAGCAGGGTTTTTCAGCATAGTTGTTCAGGGTCAGTGGTTTAGGTGACTTGCAAAATATTTTTGCTTGCTCATTAAATTCCCAGCACAGATATCTAGCTTCTTAAAATAAATACAGTTTGCAACAGCAAGCCCACCAGGCAAGCTTCTTACCTGAAGCCACTATGATGCTGGGAGCTGTGTCTCGGCTAGCAATGATCCCTGATGTGTAGGGATTCTCGGAGACCTTAAGGTGAAGGTGTAGTGAGCAATAGGGCTGAGAAGAGGAGAAATGAGGGTCATAAAAGCATATAATCTAAATGGTCATTTTAAGCCCAGATTCAGAGCATCCATGCATTCATCCACCCATCCCATACAGCCATTCATTCATGCGCTCATCTTCTATTCCACAGATATCTGGTGTCCACTAAGTATAAGACGGGTACCAAATTGGGGAAGGAGGGAGCATCTTCATTTTAGGTCTGATCTACTGCCTTGATTGCCATTTGGCCATTCAACAAATATCTTAGTACTCTATCTGTAAAGCACTAGGTGTAGCTTATGAAACACTTATATTGACTAAAATTTGGTCTCTGCCATTATGGAGTAATTTAAAAAAAATTAAGATTTTTCTATTGATTACCATAAAGAGAGACTAGTGTAACAGCCATAAGATCAGTAAAGATGAAACATGAAGTTCTAGAGGCTGACACGACTATGTCCAACTTTGGATCAAGGAAGGCTTCAAGGAGAAAATGGTGCCTGAGGCAAAGATGGGTAAGGTATGAATTACAGGTGAGATGTTCAGGAAGATAAAGAACATTTCAGGCCTGAGTGATATCAGTAACAAAGAAAAGAAGCAGCAGAGTTGAGCCAGGTAAGACAGAGGAGGAAAAATTGGATATAAAGATAGGAAAAAGATTTGTTCCGTCTGGGAGGGATCTGAAGAAGTCAGTGGCACCTCTTGGCCACTGTCCATTGGAGACCTTGGTCTCATCCGTCCAGAAGAAACTGTATGACATGTGAAACTTTCCTAACATCTACCAGGCAATCAACAGAGTATCCATGTCAGGGTATTCTCAGAATCAGTATTATTCAATATAAAAGTCATGCTTTTAGACAAAATGCAATACTAATAACAATTCAAATGAAAATTTAAGGGACTTGTTATCTATGTGTAAAAATCTCGATCAAATTCTCTGATTAAGATACCAACAGTTTTCAAATACAGGATAATAAATCTTATACGAATTTCATTTAAAACAGTTCTGGTACTGAGTTGTCAAAAACTACAAGTTTGTGTCTGAACCCACATCTCTTTTCATCTCTCAGAAAGATTACTTTCTAATCTTATCGACTTGAGTTTTTGGAATCACCAATGTATCTCTGTTATTACTTTCATTCTGCTCTGTAAGTCTCAGCCAGCAGATATTCAGAGAGCTACAGAGATACAATGATTAAATTTATTCGGCATAGAGTAAACGGCAAACTAAAAATGAAGCGCAGGAATAAAAGCGGCCAAAATACTGGTAAAGTAAAACAGCGGATTGCAACAGGGCCTTTCCTTACTACCAACGCAGAGTAAACTCTCAAGGGATAATGATCTTCATAAATGATGGATTTTGCCTGAAAATTGTATGGAAGGCTTTCAAAAAAGGCATTTTTACTTTACAACGTTTCATAAGAGTAAGGAAGACTGCCCCTATAAAAAGAATCAGTGGGACCCAAATGTTTGGCTTCCTTTTGCCTGAGAGGAAGACGAGAATGGGTAGGGTTGTAGGTTGCGGAGGTTCCGGACAGGGCTGTGCTGCACTCAGATGCTAAGACAGGAAAAAGCAGAGATGGCAAACTGTGCCTCCAAGAAAGTTTTCCTGATAGCTGCAGCCTATCGGGATCTCTCCTTCTCTGATTTACAACAGTTTATTTGACCATGTGCAATCTCATATTATCTATTTGAGGTAGGTACAGTTTTATCTCCCTAAGAGATAAACTCTACAAATAAAGAGAAAACGTCAAGTACCACACCTTTGAGTCTTCTGTGGAACCTGGCATAGAATCTAAAAGAGACAATAAATGCCTGAAGTATCAAGCAATGCTTTATATAAGTGAGGACCTGATAGACCTTTGTTGACTATTTGACTCAGAACAATGCCAGAAGTACGTTGGGCTAATGTATAAACCACATCATCAGATTAATGTTGAGTATCTCCATGGCATTCCAAGAAGTCCAGAACTCCTTGGGGATTAGCCTAGTCATGTGGGCTTCCTGTAGGGCCTTTTGTGTCACCCAACAGAGCAGAACATCCGTGGCTAAGGCAGCACCCAGTCTGCCATCCTGAGCCAGATGCTTGCCACATACTTCATCAGCCAACAGTCTCGAAGACTGCGAAGCTCAGTTGCCATCTGATCTGCTCAAGGGTTATTTGACACAGGGCACTTGCCATTACAAAGGAAAGAGGGCATTTTCAATTGGCCATCTCGGCACTGCTCTGTTGCTAGGGCTTTCAGAGGCTCAAAATAAATTAATTTGAGAAGGAAAGATACCAGTTCAGGCTGTAGCAGCCACATTAGAAGTGTTCTTTTTGGTGCACTTTTTTTCCACTCTCACATTTGCAGTACTGGATTGCCCCCAGCTGGTATGAGGAGAATATTCCGTGGCTTTTTATCCCCCTTCTTTCATTTTTTTCAAGGAAGTTATATCGTCTACATCGATGCTCAAAGAAAAACAATGTTAAGTGATTCATCTTTACTTTTTGAAGTTAAACTTTTGTACCTGACCAGTCTTGGACATCTGTCAAAGTCATGTCACCAAAAATTAATAGAGTGGTTTATTAGAATGGCTATCAAGCCACTGCCAATTCCTGCAGGACGCCGGACAAGGCTCTCTAATTATGCACATTGTGCCCGGGCAGGTGGCACTTTGTCTACCTCTCCTTTCTCCTTTCCTGCCTTGTCTCCAGCCTTCTTGTCCTCTTTTCTCCCATTACCAACCATGTCATAAATATGTGAGTATCTTTCCAGAGTGCTCTGCAACTCAGTGGAGTCAAAGTACACTTTGTCCCAAGGGCATCTTCCTATTCCCCTTATCTTTGCACATTAGGAAGATACAGCACCGTACACCGAGGCCACCATGACCTAGCAGCTGACTTTACAGTTTGAAAATTGCCCTTTGTGTCTTCACCCATAGTCACAGGGCATGGCATATCATCAACTGGTCAATCCTAGGAACATCTAGATCTCTTGTCTTTCATCTTTTCAGGATCAGGTTTAGAGTTTGAGGATCTGAGGCAAATTAAGGACGCTATCCCAAGAAAAAATACACAAAGGCAAATGCACACAGAGTTCTGTGTTCAATTTCAGGGAGCTCACAGACTCCTGAAGCCCATCATGGACCTCTAGGTCCCAATGATCTTTCTTTTGCCTTATTCTTTTATTTCTTATTTTAACCAGCGAAATCCTTTGGCCATTGCTAGTGTTCAATAAATCTGTTGGATTTAATTGATCCATTAATTAGCTACTGTCTTCTTAGCACTGTGGATGGCCAATGGAGAATTACTAAATGATAGGAGACATGCCCTCCAACATGAATTAAATCAACTTAAAAAAACTGTTAGATATATTTGAGAATCAATCAGCTTCTCATTCCACTTTCTCTTTTCCCCAACCTCTGTACTAACAGCCTTTAGGTCTCGTCTTCATGGTACTCTTATCCCTAAGGGCTCTTAATCTGAGTATTACACTGAAAAGCCAAATCGCACCTTTTATAAATAATAAGGCAGCAGCTAAAGTCTTAAATAGTATCCTACAAATCCACTCCCTGAACACACACATTTGCACTGTTTATGATCCTGAATTGGAACTAGAAATCCACTAGATTTTTAGTAAAGAGTCAATGGCAAAGAAGAGAGAGGGCTCTGGGCCAAGAGGAGATTCAGCACCACTCCAATCCAACATAACATGCGGAGTCACAGCCTGTGCAAAGGAATGGAAAGCAGCGTCAAGAATCTCCTGGGGTAGCTGGCTGCTTAGCTCCAACAGAGAACTGTCAACTGAATCCATAAAGAAGTCACGGCTTCTCTCCACAGAACACTATGCTTTCCCTAGGGACCCAAAGCATTTGTCACAGGCTCAGCTCACATCTCGCCTCTTGGGAGCCCAAACCTGAGGCTTTGGAGGCAGGCGGACCATGACCTGTAATACCCCATCTAACTGTACAATGCACTCTTCAGAGAAAAAGAAATCCTAGCTGAGCCCTCCGGGCAATCAGTCTAAAAATCCTAAAAATACAGCCCCAAATTACTCTGGATGTGTTATTTCTATAGAATGCATTTTACCAGGGACATTCCATTTGGGGCTGTAATTCTGAACTTGTTCCACATTTGTAACAGCCCTGCTGGAAAATCTCCTTTCTAATCACTAGGCTGTGCTTTCGGTGACACTGTCACTTTCCAAGTACCCACAATCTAAAAGCACTTTTTATCTCCTCTCTGCCACCAGCTCCCAAGCCTAAAGAAGGTTTTTAACAGTCCGGGTCTCCTGTAGCTCAAAGATTTTCTTTCCTATTTTGTGCCTTTGGCAGATTTTTATAAGTGATTTTGGTCCCTGCCCCCCACTCCCTTTGCCATTTCATTTCCTCAGCCTGTTTTCTAAAACTCAGACTGAAACTACATCAAACAAGGTTAATGAGGGAGGTAGGCCAAAAGACTCCTGGGTGCCACACATCCAGAGCCCATTAATTCATCTTTGCTGGATCTTAATGAATCTACTGATTTTGTTAACTGTAGGGTCAACCTGAGCCTCTGAGCTTCAGAGATGGCTATTATGACAGATCCCTCAGTGTGGCTGTCAGTGGCAAGGGAAAGTTTCCACTCAAGTCTGAATGTGAAACTCCAACACCATCTGTCAATGGAGCATCGACTTCAGACAAACGACACCCATAACAACAACACGTGCTGAACACCTCCCACGTAGTTAATCCTTGAGCTGATTCTCTAGAGTGGCCAGAGAGAGAGACACAGATCCTATACTCATGCCACTCACGTTTTAGCAGAGGGAGGTAGAAAAGACAGTCAACAAACACATGCGCTGATTTCAGAGAACGAGAAGGGTCATAGGTAAAAAAGAGTTGGGCCAAGCACCACCTTCGAGAAAGCGTAAGAAAGCCTCTGAGATTAAGGTCATCAAGCAAGAATCTGAAAGCCAAGAAAAAGCCAGACTAGGGAAACGGGATTTTAAGAGAAATAATGGTGAATACAGGGCCTAAGACATAAAGAAGCATGGTGAGCTCAAGGTATGGAAAGAGGTGCTGTCCTCTCCCAGGGTAGCCTATGTGAGGAAGGGGGGGTACAGAGGCTGGACAGCAGGCAGGGGAAGCAGACAGGAGCCGGACCCTATGAGACCTCACAGGCCATGGTGAAGTACTGGAACTTTATTCTACCTGAGTTAGAAAGTCATTCGAAACTTCAAGTAAAGGAGGGATAAGATTTGAATTTTTAAAGGTCAAGTCGATCTCATTTAATACATAAAATTTGAGAAAAGATAAATCTTTTTATACATAAAAATACATTTAATACATAAAATTTGAGAAAAGATAAATCTAATCTATAGTAAAGAAAAGCAGATTTGTGGTTGTCTAGGGCCGGGGGGAGTGGAAAATGACTGCGAAGGGCACAAAGGAATTTTTGAGGGTGATAAAAATGTTCTGTCTTTACTGTGGTAGTGCTCACATAGGTATCTACACTTGTCAAGATTTGTCAAACTATACTCTTAAAACGGGTACTTTTTTATGTATGTTTTACCTCAGTAAAGTTAGATTACAAAAGAAAAGATCTCATTGGTTGCTGTGTGGAGAAGAGATTGCCAGGTAGAGACAGGAGGACCAGTTGGGAGCCCGTCACTGTAGGACAGACGAGAAATGATGGTGGCTTGGATTATGACAGTCCCAGTGGAGATGGGTAAGCAAGCTGATACTGCATTTATATTTTGGAGGCATGACAGTAAGACTTCCTAAGTGCGTGGGTGGCTCAGTCAGCTAAGTGTCTGACTTCAGCTTAGGTCATGATCTCAGGGTCCTGGGATCAAGCCCCAAGTCCGGCTCCCTGCTCAGCAAGGAGTCTGCTTCTCCATCTCCCTCTGCCCTTCCCCCTACTCATGCTCTCCCTATCTCAAATAAATAAATAAAATCTTAAAAAAAAGTAAAAAGACTTCCTAAAACTGGGCTGGAGGTGGAGTATGAAGCACTTCACTAAGTGCTCTGTGTGTCAGAGGCATTTGTCACGACCCATTTATGACGCCAGAGTGATCACAGGCAAGCCTCTTCAGGTGCTTTGGTTAATTCTCTCTCATGGGCATTTAATCTCCAAAGTGCATGGTGGGAAGGAGGACTATACTGAGGCACTGGTGCATCCCATGCTTCTCTGGCTAAGTACCATGATGCCCCAACTTGGAAGAGTAAAACTAGGAAGGTGGCTCTGTTATTTAAAATGCTACTGAACAGTGCCTTGTACAGAGTAGGTATTCAATAAATAACTGTTACATTTCCTTACTCTGTCACTGGCTTTGTGCACTTACGATAACAACTGGCTTTTCCCCCCCTGTAAGTTGCCAGTAATAAGGGTAGAAGCTGAGTGGGAGGCTGAATTTTAGACTGCTTTGCTGATGCACAGTGACAATCATGATATCGTTTGCAACTAATTAGGTCAAGCCACGGCTGCTGGCATCTTCTTGGGTAGGAAGGTGACCCGCCCACAGCAGTATGAGATGAACCTGCAAAGGGACTGTTCAGACTTGATGGGAGAAAGCAAGCTGAGTGTGGATAACATCAAGGTCAGAATTGTATGAAGAGCGTGAACACTGATGTGTGTGTGTGTGTGTGTGTGTGTGTGTGTGTGTGTAGACACACAACTAAACCCTTCATACTAAAATGAAGAAGTCTCCCCTGTTTACATACTGATCTCTCCTTTTTATAAACTATTTCAGAGAAATTAGCACTTATGTATACTTTGTTTTGCAATTATTAATCTCTTCCTCCCCTCCTTCTGCACCACTCAGTATACATTCATGTGTCAAGCACGGGGCAGCACCAGAGCTACAGTGAGGAGTGAGATGTGACCCTCTAATCTTGCATTTATTAATCTAGTCTCTTTCAAGTAGACTGTAAACTCCTTGGGGGCCAGACTCAGCTCTGATCCCTCTCTTGGACACCTTCATATAATCAAATACATACATAAATTCATGCTCATCTATCTACTCAGTGTCCAAATGTTAGACAACTAAAAGAACGCCATGCTTCAAAGGAGGGGACAGTAAACCTTTTTTAAAGGGCCAGATAATAAATGCTGGAGGCTTTATAGACCATACAGTTCCTGCTGTGACTGCTCAGTTCTGCCATGTAGAGCAAAAGCAGCCACAGTGGGTCTACAACTAAACATGACTGTGTTCTAGTAAAACTTTATTCAGAAAAACAACTGGTGGGTCATATTGGCCCCACAGGCCATATAGTTAACCAACCCCAGCTTCACGGAATGAGACATAGATGAACGGAACATATTACAAAGAGTACAAAAGCAGGTTTAGATCAGTGGTTCTTACCCCTATTTGAGGCATAAACCCCTCTGAAAATATGACTAAACACCTTTGCTGGAAAACACATCTACAAAATTCTCCTTTCAGTTCATCAGTTCTGCAGCTGAATTTATGCATCATTGGATATGTAACAAGCCATTCATGGGAAAATAAGGGTGTATATCCCCACCATATATGGAAACTATTGCATTCTCCCTGAAACTACAATTTGAGGTTCTCAACAGAACTTGGTCACAACTCAGAATCCTTGATGTGAGCAAGGAGCCCACTCATGGCCTCCTACCTCTCTGGCCCAGCATATAAGGCAGCAGAGTGCCTGCACGCCCAGCCCTGTCCCCTTTTGTTCACCAACTGAACAACAAGCCCTGGAACCCACTTCATATGCCTGTTTAATATCCACTTCCAGCCCTCCGCTGTGCGGAACATACTTCTCCAAGGTGAAAACTCACCAGTAAGCAGTGCACAGGGTCCCCCCTTAGATCCGTGTCCGGTGCCTGCAGCAAACGCCAGTCTCGGCCTTTGTTATACGTGATGAAAGTCTTCACTTGGTTGTCAATCTTCTTGTTAGCCAAGAACATTCCCTTTATCCCTGCTACCTGGGAAAAATTGACATGGCTGAAAAATACATCAATTTGAGACAGGATATATTTGTTTACTTAAAAAAATGCGGACTGTCAAATTCAGCTTAAGCACTTGTCTTGGAGAAAAGAGAGGGTGAGGATGGGGGGAGGAGGGTAACGCTTAAGTATAATGACTCCCTGGACTATGGGACAGAAAAGCAGTATACCTTTGCCCCTTATGGTACGGCGGTTTTATCCTAAGTTGGATAGAAGCTTCTTATTTCCTCTAAGGTAGGTTAGTGGTAGCTCGCCATCACCTAGAGTTACAATCTGGTGCTTTCAGTTCTGCTGCTTGGTAAATGATACGTACATGGGGCTACCTTAATTTTATGTTAGGCATAGCACCCATGCTCTTAAATACTTGATCTCATTTAATCTTTGTAGCAATCCTCTTGGCTAAGTATAACCTATTCTTTTTCACGTATGAGGAAACCGAGGCTCATCCAGGTAAAGTGACTTCTCCAAGGTCATACCGCCTAAGGTCACACAGAGAATAAGTGGCAGACCTGGAATTTTAACCCAGAGCTGATGGCTTCACAGGCCATGCTCTTAACAACTATCTAAGTCACTGAGCTATCTACAGCCTGGGGCAATTGAAAAAGGTCAGTTTAAAGCTCATGATCCAATTGCTATTGTTCCCCCCTCTTTTTTTTCCTATAAAAAGATGGCTCTGTTAAGCCACTGGAATATACTGAACAAAAGAGAAGAGCATTTCAACATAAAGAAGCAGTGGTTTCCCTAAGCTGTGAAATCATTCCCTCCTCCGTTCCTATAACACCTTGTTCCCACTGTAACCAGTCCGCATTAATTACGTGGCTCTGACAATATGATTGCCTTCTCTCTTCCATACTTGAGGAAAGAGGTCAACTGGGTAAGTTGATGAAGCCGTGAAATAACAAATCATGACTTGTGTCCCGTATTTTTCAAGCGTCTTCGAGTGTATTAAATGCATTCATACTCATTTTACCCTACTTGTTATTATGACAACCCAGGAAGACTGAGGGCCAGTGAGAGAAGTATCTGAATGCGTGCAACAGCGCAGGCCATCCCATTTAATGCTCACGGTAACCATGAGATAGAGTAACCGGCAGCCACATTTTGAAGATAAGGAAACAGAAGCTTAGAATGTGTGGTTTTGTAGAGCACAGATGGTGGTAGTAAGTGGACAAGCTAACAAGTATATTTGAACCCACTTATCTCAGGCCCTTTATAGGAGAATATGAACATTTGTAAGCAGAAGAGTGAAAAAAGAGCATGAGTCTGTGCCATTCACCCAGTACTATGCCCAGTGATTTATATACCAAACCTCCGATATTCACTACAAACCTGCCTCATAGCTACGGCCCAGATTCTATGGACGAAGAAACTGATGCATAGACAAAATTTAATTGCTTATGATAACAGACAGTTGGGGTTCACATTCAAATCTGTCCGACTTCCAATGTTCTTTTAACAAATACAGCTCTGAATTTCTCAACTCAAAAGAGGTCGGGTCTCGATCAACAGAGTATGTACATTTTACCTTGGCTTTTGACACGGTCAAACCTCATTAGTTTGTACCTGCTGATGTGGCATATGGGATAATTTAGAGTTGAGCCAACTTTGTATTCTTTCGGAACGACATGTTTGTTAAGCAAATAAATGGTATAAATAAGTAGCTGGGAGGAATACTTGGAACTACTTAGGAAAACAAGCCTCATTTGGGCAATCAACAGCAAGCAGACAGTTTCTTATGCATTGTTGATCCTCGACAAATGTGGGAGACATAAATTCCAGGGGCACTGTACCTCCCAACGATGGTATGTTAATTACGAATAGTATTTAGTTATTCACTATCCCAGCTCCATAAGCACTGCTCACCAGGGAACCCCATATTGGTTTTGCATATGTTCCAGAGGCTGTTACATATTTAAATATGACTAAACTGCCAGTTCTTTAAAAATGAAATTTCATGAATCAGAATTTTCACAAGTCATGCTCGTTTTCTCTCCACAGCATACTCGTCCATGAGAAACAACACTGTCTTAACCATTCGACACTCTAGGTTACGGTAAAGCACAGAAAGAATGAAATTATTACCTATTCCAGTAGTTTCCTTGCCCATTTTCCTTCCTGCCTCTCCCTCTTTTGGCACGAGTGTCAGAGCAGGGTTATATGTGTTTAGGAGCTGGTTCATTTGATTTGCAGAAGCGGTGACTTTATTGGCCCCCGACTGCTTGGCATTATCAAATGCCACTTGAGTGGAGAGCTGCGCTTTGTAATTCATCTTTGGCAGCCTGGCCCTCGGGTTTATCTTGGGGAATAAAAACTTGCCAAAGCAGGGGCAATGGGTGGCAATAGGGGACGGAGCTGGAGTGGGTCTGCTTATTTTCCTCTTGTGGCCAAGGCACTGTATCTGTGGTCCCATGTGTGGTGTCTTTTTATTTTTCTTGCTTTTTCGGTCCACTCTGCAGAGATGGTCACCCTGGCTCTTTAGTTTCTTGGGCCATCCACTCCTCCTTTTGCTCTGAGCCTGAGAAGCCCATCTTCCTGGGTGTCTTGGTGCCCCTCTAGGCATAAAGCACTTTTCTCAAGGGCTCTTTTGTGAGGTCTCACCTTCTATTTCTTGGAACCTCTCGCCTCTTACTTTGGATATCACTTTGGATATCAAGGGAGCAGTGTCAGTGCCCAAAATATGGAATGTGTGTGTACTGGTGGGTACATGTATGTGCATATGTATGTATAAGGTCTGGGGTTCCACTGAGGATGGGGGGAAAGGTTTATGTTGCCAGACAACCTCAGTATTCATAGTATGTGCATATTTGTGTGGAACGGGGTAGGGCTGAGGGATGACGCAGGATGGGAAAAAGTAATATTCCTGACGAAGACATGCCTTCATGTGAACATGGACAGTTTCTGAGAATGATATTCCTATGGCAATGACACTCACATCAGGGAGTCTGTCTTCCTTTGGGGAAAGACCCGTTACCTTTTTTACCTTTCTGAATTCTGCTCAAAAATGCTGAGTTGAGAAGCCACTTATCTTTCTTTGCCTCTCATATGGGGAGTGTGATACCAGAAGTCTCAAAGGTATTTAGTTATTATTTCTTTTTTAAAGATTTATTTATTTTTATTTTGAGAGAGTGAGAATGAGAGAGAGAGAGAGAGAGAGAGAGAGCACATGAGAGGGGGGAGGGTTAGAGGGAGAAGCAGGCTCCTCGCTGAGCAGGGAGCCCGATGTGGGACTCGATCCCGGGACTCCAGGATCATGACGTGAGCCGAAGGCAGTCGCTCAACCAACTGAGCCACCCAGGCACCCTAGTTATTATTTCTTATTCTCTAATCTCATAGGAGCCAAAACACGATTCTGATTAGACTTTAAATACGCAGCGTTACAGCTTAAACCTCAAGCTACCACAAAGCACATCCACACACTTAGTGTGCCCCTGGGAGCCAGCTTCACATTGCTGCCCTCCCTTCTCCTATTTCACTTCCCAGGTTCATACAGGCCATCTCCCACTCCCTTGGATAACATGCTGATATGTCTCCACCCACCCACTTCCTGTGTTTTTTATATGCATCTCTGCAGAGCACTCTTGTATCTCAATCTTTCTTTCACGTGCTCCACCGGAGGCTAAGCTGGGAAGACCCCCGAACAAGAGTTTCCGCTTATTTCTGATTCTACTGCTTAACTGGGAGATGACCCCTCCCACCCTCTCTGTCTCAGACTGCAACTACAAAGCCGAGGTGTCAAAATTAGAAGAGAATAAAAATTATGAATCAACAAGCATGGCAAGAAAGAGAACATATCCATGACCATAATTTCTTTGGGCTTTGGACATAGGATATTTTTCTGTTCTAAAGAGAGGATTGCAGCCAAGAGAAACACAAACTCAGAGGGAGAAAGGCCAGGGGTGACTTTGCAATCAAGGAGCCCACTCCCCCAAAATGCCCGAGTGTTCTTTTCTTCCCTCTACTGACTTAACCAGGAAGAACTCCTCTCCTAAGGAGAGAGTAGCCTTAAGTATAATTAGACGGTAACATTCCATGTCCTGTAAGCAATATGCCCCGGAAGGGAGAGCATTTTTCTTCTCCACCTCCTATGCTGGATTGTAAGAGGCACCTTTCCCCAAGCAATCAAGGTGTAAGTACACATCACAACTGCTGAGCTTTCTCTTTTAAAGAGGGGGCACTCACCATGTGCAGAAGACATGATGTGTGTAACCAAACATGCACTGCTCATTGGTTATGTCTTCCATGATGCCCACTGTGCTCACTCATGTGTGCGCACATTCTGTGCATTCCAAATGTGCCAGCCAGGTGGCTTCACTCCCAACACAGCCGTTTCTACTTGGCTGGGGTGAACTGTCATTGCCCAGTAAGCCAAAGTGCTCTTCATCGTCATTAATTAATACTCTCTTCCCAGAGGAGGGAGGATATTGTCCAAAGCTGTCAGACCCCCTCTCATCAACCACACCACACGAAAACACTAGGAATCATATGTCTCAGACACACTCATCATGTCTCCTTTGCTCTGGCCACCATCAGGCGCCATCTTCTGTTACCCATCCCACGTGTGATGCCACTGGAGCATTTGTGCTTTCAGGAATGACAGAATTTTAGGATGCTTGTTCCTAGGCTTCTCTTCTGGAAACATATCCACCAGACAAAATTGGGAGGCATAATGATAGTACTGCCTGAATTGAGCTATAACTGCAGACTCAGGACTTGGGTCAGAAGGTGGTGAATAGGTCCAGAGCTATCGTTTGTGGATTCTGTTTATTTTGGCTTTTTCAAGACTGTTTCATTTTTCTTGTCTGGTTTCTTCTACTTCTAGGTAAAGTCTAATACTATTTATTCTACCCTTCAATGACCTCCAGTCTAAGGGCTATTATGGGCCACAATCAAATACAAGCCCAAATCTTTCGAGAGACACAAATAGTTTGTTCTTAAGAGTTTGCATACTCTAGGATTCAGATCCTAATTCTGCCACAACTAATGTTGATATCTTGCAAAAATGATAGCATTTTCTGCCTCCATTTACTTATGTTTAAAGTGGAAGTAATTATAGTCCCAGCATCATAAAGTTAATACATGGATTGAATGAGATAATTATGGAAAGTTCTTTACACAGTGCCTGGCACATACTGGCACCCAAAATATTATCTGTTGTTATTATGAACTTTCATCAACAAAAATCACTATCCAGCATTTTTGCTCTGTGGCCAACTTTCCTGCCTAACATCTCTTGAGCCTTTTGAATGTAGTTCAAGTTCAGTGGTCAACTGACTCTGAAGGAAAATTCTGGTATTTGAATAATTAAACCATGTAAGATGGTCATCCAACACTCTGTCCCCAACATCACATGCACACATGTACCTCTAGGGCAGAGAGAGCCTGTTTGTTGTAAGGTTTCAATGTGTGTATGTGAACAAAATGATTGAATTTAATGAGAAATATGCTTCACAAAGACTCATCAACAATACATCTCCTTGATACACAGACTCATACCATTATACATTACACAGTTTGCCTCTGCTAAAACAGCTTAAAGAACACACAGGAATGACAGGTCGTTGGCATGCAGAAGCATACAAGCAAAGAGCTCACACCATCCTCCTCAGTCACCCCCAAATGTGAGCAGACGTGCACTCCATATATTCTGTCTTTGTCACCCCTACCTCATATGTTGCTCATCTATGCTCCTTATTAATTCATTTATGGATTTTCTTACTTTTCATTTATCTCTAAGCACTCATCATTCATTGCAATTCTACTGGGAAATTCATGCTGGATGGCTTTCAGCTTGCTGCTAGCCAGAACAATCAGATTTAAGGAACATTTGTGCCAGGTTCCATGTCAGCCAATATTTTTTCTATCTAGGTAATCAGCAGATACAGCACCGCCGTTCTGATCACATCAATTTCAATTCAAGTTGCTGCAAACTGTCAGGCTAATAAAACCAAAGACTCTTCTTCCCAGGCCCTGGGATACAGAACACCTTTACATAATGCAGTCACACCACTGCTCACAGTGATTATAATAAGAGCCAGCAGTTGTCCTACAGACAGTCAAATGCAAGAGAGACACAAAAGGGAAACACAAGGATTAACCAAGAAATGATTTGCCATGTCCAGAAGTTACCCTGTTTCCTCTTCACATTCCATGCCTGTTAGCAATATCTGAATTCAGAAAACCATTCAGGAAAACAGGTGTAAATAACAGAACATTGCAAAGCTGTCCCTGTCCAAATCTGTCATCTTTTGTCATCATCAAGGGACCAATTAGAATGGTCTCTGTTTTGGCAGAAAACAAAATTTATCCCAGAAAAAATGCTTTCACAATGACTTGAAAAGAGGGGAGAAGTTAATCAAAAAGGGAAAAATGCAATCTGAAAATGAGAAAATGTTTTTGGGAGAATAAGGACAGAGTCAAGGCCAGGGAAGTGAACCACGTGATTTATCTGGGGCAGCTGCTTTGACTTCTTATCAGACTCTTGAAGCAAGATATTTATATTGTAAATGCTGTAATCAGCCATGAAAATGCGTGGCATTTCAACAAAATGCACTAACAATTTAAATGTTTGCACGACATTTACAAATGAGGAAATAAATGTGGTAATTTACACTTGTTTGTAAGAAGATGACTAGTTGGCGTTAAGCAACATCCTATGGCCATGCTAAGTGCAATATGGGAAGAAACAAAGATCCAAAAGTATGGAAGTGTGTTGGGTATTTAAAAAATGTGGGTAGATTTTAAGACTATAAGAACAGAACATTGTATGGGGGCTTAACCTCATTGGAATATAATATTAATTATGCTATAATTTGTTGAACATTGATGCATTTTTGGCACTGTTCATAGTACATACGGTAAGATTAACTTAAGTAATCCTTAGAAATTCTATCAAGTAGGTATCATGTATAGCTCCATATTTTAAACAAGGAAACTGAGGCTTGGAAGTTCTTGGCTTTGTCTCTAGAAGACATACATGCGGTGTAGCTAGGATTTAAATCCAGGCAGCCTGACTCCAAAATTTATACTTTAAATCACAATTTTATCCAACATGAATTTGAAACTAAATCACCAGAATATGGAAATGTTTTCCAGAATACATGTTCAGTTTGAGGCTGAGATACATGATACTACTATATTTATCTGGAACATAGGCAGGAAAAGAGTGGAAAAACTTTGTGAATGTGTAAAAAAGTCTGCAGTGCATTTTTCTAAATATATACACACAAACTATGTCTCACGCTATTTTGGGCTCTGAATGGGGCATGCAAGTTTGTTAACATGACTTTATACATACAGAGAAGTTTACACACTAGAAGAAAATCCCCAAGAGCTCCTAAAGGAGAAGACGGGTGGGTAGACAGCATTAAAAGGAATTACAGTGATAGGTTTAAATTTGTTAAATGACATTGGTTCCTTTCTTTGATATACTAGGTATCATTCCCTTGCTTCTCATTATATAAACAACCTCTTGACTCTATGAACTTATACTCATCCAAAAGATAGCATCATTATGACTATACATATGTGAATCAGTTTCAGATTTTTTTTCAGATAGGATGTAGGTAAATGAGTGTACTTCCCAAATTCTGAATACATTTTGTAATGGCTCATTATAACCCGCTATAAATCCTTCATGGTACAAGGTAAGACTGACAAATGGCCAAAATCCATCCCCAAATAGCAGCTTGCTTTCTACCTAGCCATGCTTTAAATGGCATTCAAGTGATGGTATTTGTTATGAAAGCTAAGCAATCTAACATATATGGTTTTATTTTGTATCCTGGTCATTTTGAGAAACAAAGGGCCATAGCTGTTTTAGGGAAATATGGTAAACTCTGTTTTTTGTCTCTACCTCCCCCCTTCCCATTTAGTAGAGAAAGACCTATGAGTTTTGTCTCACTCACTGGCCCTCTGAGGAGATGACTATTAGTCAGTGGAAGGTACAAGTTTAGAAAAGTATTCAGGTCCAATGGGAGTATCTTCTAGTGCAATACCCCCCTGCCTTGCCCTGTTCCTTCTTCAGAGAGGAAAGGAGGATGCCCAGTGCCCCTTTGCTCAAACTCTGACACCCTGTTTGCCCTTCAAGATTATTTTCAAATTTCACATTAGGATCACCCTTGTTCAAACCTTTCAATTGTTTGACTGCTTCCCCAGACACTCTCTCCAGGTCCCTGGAGACTTCATTGGACTGTGGACTTCATCAAGAAAGGATTCCTCCCAGAGGTGTTGTGTGGAATGCAAATTAACCAATAAAAATGTTCTACAAATCCTCCCCTCTCCCAAATGAAATGAGGCCACATAAGGAGCTAGGAATTAAAATGATGGAGGCGACAACCAATGGTGTGCCCTTATTAACATTAACTGCCAGCCCAGGCACTGCAGGGGCTCAGGACTACACATGCCTTGTGACATACCTCATAGAGGTCGATCATGATGTTGCCCTCAGGACCTCTGTTGCTCTGGACATTCTCCAAGGCCAGTGTGAAATAGACCCCACGGGTGTCTGAGATATAGAGGTTGTAGGTGTCATTTTGGTTCCATTCTTGAACCGCTGCAAACACTTGATTCTCATCTGTGCTGATGACGTGCATGTCCTGAAGAAAGACACAGAGAAGTGAAAAGGATGAAGAGCTTCATATGTTAACATGGCATGTGTCCAAAGAGAGTGGAATCTCATGAAGAGTACCAGAATAGGCTCTTAGGCACTGTCACGGAAGATAAAAATTTTCCTTTTGTATATTCATGAAATAGTAATTAATTAGGTAAATGTTAATCATTTCCTTTGTCATTTGTGGGGTTAGGCAGTAAGGTCACGAGAAAACTGGGCAGAGAGATGCCTGGTAGCTCACTTATAATTTAATTACCTCATTAAATAATTGAAGAATACTTTCTCAAATATGTATAACTTTGGAGAATCAGTCATCCTGATATACTTGGCCAGGCACAAACATGGTACGTGTTCAGAAGGCTTATGTGGGGCAAATATGAGGAAAACTTGGAGAGACAGAGAGAAAATAGGTAAGTCCTGCTTCTCTCAGAGTGGTCCATGGGCCACCAGCATGGGCATCACCTGTGAGCTTGGTAGATACACTGAATCTCAGGCCTTACTTACTGTATCAAAAATCTGTATGTAAATAAAATCTGAGTGATTCATATGCACATTAAAGTTTGAGAAACATTCCCTAAGGCTCAGCAACTCCCAGAAGCCCCTGAGGAAAACATTCACCTGAGAATCACCCCAAAGCACTCATCTTCACGTCAATGAGTGGTCAAGGACTAAGTGACTTATCTAAACCTTTACTCTGAGAAGTTCAGCAGGGAACCCTAAGTGAGAGAGGAAAAAAGAGGCCTCCTTTCAGACTCTGGTAGTCCAAGGCAAAGGTAATGTGGAGGCAGTGAGCACATGTCCCTGGAATGAGAATTCCAAATCCCTTCTTCCCCATTCAGAACTCCAGAGAAGTGGATGTTCAGGGGAGGCTGACACAGACCAAGGCTTGCTGCCTCAGACCAAGTCTTGCCGTCTTCTTACATAAGCTCTTGGCAGCTGTCTACTGCCTTTACTCAAGGCAGTAGACACTGGTGTAACTTTCAAAAACCAAAAATCAAAACAAAACAAAAACAGAATTACAAATAAGCATAAGGACTGAAGAACAGTATGGAAAGATTCTTGGCTTTTGTGTAGCTTAGTACTCAAATTTTCCCAGATGGATCATCCTCCATCCTTGAAAAGCTTCAGGGGAACTTGCAATCTTCTTTGGCAAGAATTTCAGTGCTAGAAAGTTCTACTAACTTCTAACCTAAATTTCTCCTTGTAATATATGCCCATGTTCTTTCAACCAAACAATCAGCAATTCAGCTTGGACCCTGCTCTAAACATATAGGAACAAGTCTCTCCCTCCTTTACCATGATCACAGTGAACTCTGATGATCCCAGAAGGAAGAAGTCTTCATCCACAGAGTTTCATATTCCTCACCCCTACTTGGGTCTCACATGTCATACTCTAGAGTTTGGTAATGCTTTTATATAAAGAATACAGAGTGGGAGGCCAAAAATGAATCTTTCCCATTAATTCAATGTGAATCAATAATGCAAACGTATGTTTAGTATGGAAGTTGGCCATTGTTTTTATCAGTCAAATGTCTATTCCATTTCTTCCGATAATTGTAGTTAATGTTCTTTGAAAACACCCTTATTACTCTCAGACAAATTTCCTCCCTGTACTTAGTCTTTGCTACTTTTTGCTACTCTCAACACCAGAAAAGAGCTTATTGGCTTAGCATTCAGAATATTCAATGTCTCTGACCACAGTGGTTGGATCAGTGATGGGTATGCAACACGAAGTCAATAAGAAACAATTCTACAATGACACTGGTATTATCAGAAAGTAAAAAAAAAAAAAAAAAAAAAAAGTCTAGATCTGATGGAGGCATATCTTGGAGGGGAGGCAGGGGATGAAGCCAGTCCTGAAGAAAACAGGCTCAAAAGGAAGAGAGATAGGCCACATTCTGTGAAAGTCTTTGAGCCTTTGACTGTGGACAGCTAAGAAGCCTGCCCCACCTGTAAACCTTTCAGTTAGAGAGAACAGTAGAACAAAATGGTTAAAAGAATGGACTTTGAAGTAAAACTACTTGAGTTCAGATCCTCCCTCTATAACTTAGCTGTGTGAACTAAACTCTGTGTCTGAGAATTTCTACCTGCAAAACAGAGATATTAGTGTGCCCTCCATGGAGTTATGAGGATTAAATCAGTTACTAAGTGGTAAGCACTTAGAATAGTGCCTGACACATAGCATCTGTTAAATCCCCTTTGTTGATGAAGCGAGGTTGATTTGGCTTTTCTGTTCACCGCAAATGTTGGCGGGCTAACTAGTATACTTAATAAAAAGTGGTTCATGCAAGTATTTTGCTTCTTTGTAATGGAGAGGATTGGCTATGGAAATTAGCCCAAGGGCCATTCAACCACTGAGGGCCTACCTTTCTATGGCTCCCCACTTCCTAAAGGACAAAAACTCAAATATTTATTCTGCCATTTGGAATCCTCACATAACTACTCCCAGTTCACTAGTAAGCAGGATGCAGCATCTTCCCTGAATTCAATTCAAAATATTTAAGCACAGATCTGGCCCCCACGTAACTATTGTCCACTTCTGTGCCTCTGGAGTGAATTTGGGCACTGGTGAACTGCTGAAGTCCAGGTCATCACAGATAATCTTGTTAATAAACGCTAGGGGCTAGATATATCAACTATATTATCCCAACTCATGCAAATTTTTGTTTTGTAGATTCGGAACTAAAACAGTGCTTCAAGGTCACCTAGAGAACTAGTCGAGTAACCATAACAGATTCAAATGGCCATCTCTAGATAAGGGCCAAGATCAGATCTCTCTCTCTCTCTCTCTCTCCATATAATCCAATTACACTGAAGAGACTTAAAAAATGTTGGTCTCAGATATCTTAATTGAAAGATGTGACATATTTAAATGTCATCTTTCTTTTCTCTTCTTGCCTACATTCTCTTCTATCAGGAAAATACACTCTTTCTACATAAAGTGGCACTTTATGTTCAATACTTTTACTGAGACACAAAATTTTAGAACAAGAAGTGACCTTTGAGATCTACTAGAGCGTTTCCCAAAATCTGTTCCATAGGACATCAGCATTGATGGATTCTAATAAGACTTTTTTTTTTAATGGATCCCTTTGTAAAATGTTTTGATTAATGCTGAGTTATAGAGTTTTCTTGCTTACAGGACATCCTAGAGCTTTTGACACCAGTGACCTACCGTTACTCTCGAGGCAAGGGGCATAGAATGGAGTTTATTTTTTTCTTAAGCTTATTTGATCATGGAACCAAATTTTCATGAAGCATCTCTAAGGACATTTTATTCAGAGTAATATTTATTTTATTTTAAAAATGTAAAAACAAAACAAAAAAAAAACACAGAGAAGGAGAAATTGGTAAGCCAGTCGAAGGCTTCAAAGCAGGTTAGTGGCAGACGCAGGTCTGGAATCCGGGCCTCCTGCTGCCAACCAACCTCTGCACCACCCACGCCCCTGTTCCCATCGATCTCCCACCACAGAGACAACTAGATCCATTCAGATAATAATATTATCTTGCTTTTATAGAGTATCTGTCCTCCAAAATGCTCAAAGCACTTTCATATGTATTGCCTCATTCATCTCCCTTGAGTAGCTCAGAATGAGCTCCACGTAAGTTAAGGGAAGGAAACCATCACCATGTCTCCCAGCCTGGGTGGGGGGGGGCGGGGCTCATGTTTTTAATAGCGGCAGCAACATTAAAGTCTCCCCATCTCCCTCTCCGGTCAGTGTTACCATTATGTTATTATTATCTTTTTTTTTTTAACACAGCTCAGAGTAACCATGATCTTTCAATAGCTGATACAATGGCAGTGGATGATTACAGAAAATTTGAACATGAAAGTGCTGGTTTGTCTCGATTCCTTTGGTGGACATAAAGCTTTGTTCCTTTCCAGCCAAGGCAGCCCTGACTTTGATAGAAGGCCATGAAATACAGGCATCTTTCTGGCAGATCACTCCACCCAAGCTGGGGCTATTCTTTGAAGGTGTAATGGGATTGTAATGAGACGTCTCATTGCCTTAAATAATAAACACCTGTTTGGACCACATAATATGTTCATTTCCTGTCCTGGCTCCTATTTTTCCGGGGACAAGAGAAATTAATCATGGCGTTCTACCCTCGTACCTCGGATGAGGCTAGTAATGGAGCATGCTCATCTGGGATAGCAAGGGGAGGAGACAGACCGCTGATAAAAGTGATAAAAGTGATAAAAGTGATAAAAGTATCACTTTTCCTTCCAGAATGGCTGGATGTCACTTGGGGCAAGTGTCAACAGTGATCCGTGTGATGGCTATGAACAAACAACACAAAGGATGTGTTTCCTAACACTCCAGCAAGAGATCCAAAGATGGTTCTTTGGTTTTAAATGACCATTCCTGGGGCTCCTTAGGTCCACAGGACGTTTTCTTTTGATGGTCCTCCAGTATATCAAAATTTGTGGGGGATCGGCTATCTTCTAATAGTAAGCTATTAATTTATTTCAAGAGAATAAAAGTATAATACAAAGGATGCCAATTTGGGAGCTCAGGAGACTTGAATGCTTGCCTCACTTGGGCTACAAACAGCTTTTGGTTTGGCTGGGACTTATTCCACACAAAGAGTATATTCCCAGGAGAGAACACAAGAGGAATGACTCATATCTGCTGCTTCCTGATTTGGTCTCAATTCCCACATGCCTCTTGAGCGAGAGCATCTCCCTGCATTGATTTTAATTCTTATTTTTAAAGGTGTAAATCTTGCAAGCTAAACTACTGCATTTGCTGATCAAAGAAATAGCAATTTATTTCAGCACTCAAGGGGAAAAAAAAAAAAAACAAAAACCCAAACGGCTCTGTTGGACTTACTGAGGAGGCATGATCATATCCCTCATGGACCTTCCTAAAAGATTATCCAGTGTAATTTTAACAACACTCAGATTTAATTTTACATATGGACTTTACCTGATTCTCGTCTGAGGCACAAGTCCAAAGTTGTAAGTGCTTGCCTTTTTGGAAAACACTTTAAGCTGAATCAAGAGCAGGGAGCACAGACAATACAGTTCTGGGCAATTAGCACTGTCATTAATCTCTTAGCAGCTGGAAATAAGAACTACTAACATGGATATTGTTCTCTGGAGTCAACAGTGCAATTTAATGTGTGTTGTTATCTCGAATGGGCCAATGTCTCAGCCCACCTTACTATCCTGCTAGGCTTAGGGGCAGAGTGATGGCCAAGAAGGAGAATTCTGCCTGTAAAGGCCAGAGCAACTGGCTACCACTGGCTCTCCTGGAAGAGGAGACCTGTGATGTCCTTGTGCTATCCCATGATTTCCTGGCAGCTCGCTGGTGTTGGTCCAGGACAGCACACCACAGACTCATGGATAAAAACACAAGATAAGGAGTCATGAACACTCAATCAAAAAAAGTTCCCTATGTTCTTTGTCTAACCTAAAGGTTTCAAAGCTGAGCTACAACTACATTTAAACCTGCACTGTCCCCTCCTACAGCCATACATACATCCTTTGCTCTAAGATCAAGGCACAACACATTGACTATTTCAGACCACAAATCCACGTAACTTTGAGCTCCCAAGTCAGTTTGTCCTCCACTAGGTGGCGCTCCATATTAACACAGCTGTTGAGTGTTTCTGGAAAGATAGCCCAGGGATGTCAGCCGTTGAGAAGGTCTTTAACTTTTGTCTGTCATTATTTTCAAAGGAGTATGTCTTTGGGGAAGTCCAAAACATTAGCTGTGCTTCAGAACTCTAAAACCAGCCTCCTAAGTCCCATTGAGAGACAAAGCAAAGGTTGGGTGTCATCTAGATGCGCCACCTCTCAATAATTAACAATAAAATGGGATAGAAATGTATCACACCCGTTGTACTGATATAACGTGTATCCAAAGCCTATTTTCTGTCTTGTTAGAAGACCCATACATACTGCTTGAAAATCTTTATTACTGAAAAACAAAAGCAAATCAGTTGACAATCTATTCAGATGCTCCCATAGCAAGAATTAGAGAGAGTGAGAAGTTGAAGAACGGTCATGGGGGGTGAGAAAAGATAAATGAATATGAGGGTCCTTGGGAACGGGGTGAAGGCAAGAATATGGGAATTGGAAAAATACGGAAATGAAGAAATCCATTCAGGTCATACCTTGGGCAAAGCATATTTGGGCAGCTTCATTTGGGCAAAGGCATTCCTCCGGTAGGATACGTAGTAATGTGGCCGTCCTCCTGATGTCAGCTGGATCACAAACACAAAGGTAAGAGGAGCTATTATAACAGTTACAGGCCATAGAGAAACAGCCACGGATGGCGGGGGCTAGCTGCCAACCCAGCAGTGGGAACGGCTATTGTGGATAAGTGTGAAGAACTAGAGTTCCATTCAAAAACAACTCACACAGTGTATGTGAGTTGGTCTGAGGTCCAAGCTAAACCCACTGCATGAAAATATAATTCTTCAATTTGCACTGTGGCTCAGAAGCCAAGATACATTTTCAGTTTCTTTCTTTTCTTCTTCTTCTTTTTTTTAATGATACAAGCCACAGAGTAGATTAGCTTCATGTCCATCAGCAGTCCCCAGCTGTCTAGCCCGACTACGGGTGTGCAAACCGGTCCCCAAGCCATACCGGGAGGAAATGGCCCAGGTCAGACAGTGCCAGAGCTGGAGCCCCTCACCTCTGAGCACTGAATTCCATTTGAGGCTGTCGCATTGATGCCTCTGAGTATGTGTCAGATCCAACAGTGCTGCTGACACAGTAGACGGGAAGCTGGCCAGGATTGTGGTCCAAAATCACTATAGATCTCTATCTCCCAGAAGAGAACTGTGAATGACCTCCTCCACGTCTGTCTGGCACATACAGCCCTGTGAACCCCGTGGGTGCCAGGGAGAGCAAGAAGGGGTGTGGTCTCCACCTCAGCATGAGCACTATCCCATGCAGTGTCCCGGGCTCCACTGACCATCTCTCTCCTCTGTGGCCACTCTCGTTTCTCAGCTTTATTGAGATATTATTCACATATAACATATGTGAGTTTAAGATGGTACCTGATGGTTTGATGCATGTGTATACTGCAAAATGATTACCGCCATAAGGTTAGTTCACACCTCTGTCCCCTCACTTAATGATGATATTTTGTGTGTGGTGATATCTTTAAAAATCTACTGTCTTAACAACTGTCAAGTATATATTACAGTGTTGTTGATCATAGTCACTATGTCGTACATTAGATCCCCAGAAGTTACTCATTTAATAGCTGGAAATGTGTACCCTTTGACTCCCATCTCCCACCTCCCAAACCCTGGCAACCACCATCTACTCCCTGTTTCTGTGACTTGGTTTAGTCGCTCTTAATCCATATAAATATCCAGAGTTGGGATACCAGCTACTAGAGTGTGCATGCTCAGACTCTGTCAACACATGCTCTGGGGGAACGTGCCCCAGACACATAAAAAAGTGACCAGAAGTTATCATTTCCCCGTTATGGGGCCAGATCCCCTCGTAGTCCTTGTGACAGGCTGTAGGATCAAGTTCACAGTGGCATGGGTAGAAAATATATGACACTCTAAATGCAGAAGTGATTCCCATTTGTAAGTTACATATGTGAATTATAAACCATTATTAGAAAACAGAAACGGTTGCTGGGAGAAACAGTGATAGAGAAATGAATTATACATAGAACCAATACGTGTAATCATTTTAATATCACTTGATAATTTGATGCTGAAGTTATCAGAGTACTCATTACTCATTTCCCTCAGGAAAACTGATGTGTGTGTGTGTGTGTGTGTGTGTGTAGCCATTTGTGAAACATTTTAAGAGTACAGAGGCTGATGTTGGGCATTTTGAACATTTGCTTCCTCAAAACATGGGATTGAATATTCTTAATTATGATTTCTTGTCCAAACACATAAACAGTGTTTAGAATGTGTCTCAATCATAGTGAAATTGTGTGTATATGTATACATAGTATGTATAAATAAGCAAATACATATAAATATATATTTAATATATAAACTACATAGATATAAACTATTTAGCAATTGTACCTTTGCCACTCTTAGTATGGGAAGCAATAAGTGAAGTCTGTCCAAACTTAACTAATAACTGACGCATTATCTAAACAAGCCTAGAATTTTCCTTAAACGCTGAAAAGAAGCAAAGCATACTTGCTCCCTGTCTCTTCTAACTATTCAACCTCAAAGGTTTGCCATTCTCTTCAGGGGTGAAAAACCCGGCTGAGCACATCGCATCTCATCTAATTCTGATCCTAATCACAGTCAGAGCCTGACAATAACAGCTGATTACTCTCCCACCTCACCCCTTCCTCCCACCACCTCCAGCTACCCCACAGCTTCCTGCTCCCATCTGTTTCTCTATTTTTAAGGTGAATATTGGGGAACAGGCTGATTGGCTGACTATTCTGATAGGAAGAGACTGACATATCCGCTCAGTCCCATGAAGGCAGAGGAGGGGGGTGAATAGAAGTGTGCATCATTCTGAGACAACCTTGACCTCCATGACCCCATATTGATAAGGTCCTCCAGACAATGCCCAAAGGAGTTAATTAATATTCTGTTAGCATAGAAGCTTCAACACTTGGTAATGCTCCTTCTGTCAAAAGGAGAATGATTTTTTTTTTCTTTCGTTTTTTACTCTTAAGGGAGTGTAAGCAGGCTAAGGAGGCTGCATTAGGACAGAAGCAGGAAAGAGAAATGTCTGAGACAATCAGCAGAAGTGGATCTTTCATACCTGAACAAACACGTAATCATCCTGGACAATCAAAGAGTCTGGGTCAATGTAGCCTGGGAAAGGTTTATTTCTGTTGGCCTCTGTGCAGTTCTGCATTCGGCAAGTTAGGTATTGTGAATCTGAAAAAAAAAAAATGGGTACAGGGGATGTATACACACAGAGTATTGGACTCGGAGTGGACATTTTCCGTTTCCCTTGCTATCTCCAATTCTTTAAACAAACCTCACATTCTTTAACTGCATTATTCATCCTATTATTATTGTTAAAAGTAGTATCGTTATTATTTTACTCACTTTCTAGCAACACCATCGTCACTATGCCCCAGTGCCTCCCCACCAGATCTTGCCATCCTGGAATACTAAATTCTCATTAATTAATTCTCCCCTCCCAAACCTAAATGAAAACATTTTTAAAAACTGCCATTAATACTAGTGATTTTGTCAGGTATTTTTTGTTTCGTTTTGTTTTGCACTTGTAGGCTCTTTCTCCACACTTTGACCTTTGACCAACAGGCAGGTAAACATGGTCATACACGCAATCACCAGTCATCTCATGCAAGAAGTTGTACTGTTATAAACAGGAAGATTCCATATCAAGAAAAAGGCTTTTCTTCTCCTAAGAATTAGAAGTGAAACAGAATAGAAAGGAGATTCCTGAGTCCAAAGCTCTGCTCTCATTTTACAGAAAAGTAAACTAATCCCACCTGAGACTTCTGCTGCAGCAGAAGACCCTCTTCTGCCTCTCCCAGCAGATGGGAAACCTATCAGTGATGATAATTTTTACATAGATTTGATATCTATTGCTGGAAGTACACTGTACCAGGGAAGTTGTCTTGGTTTTTCGACTAAAACTATTCTGCCCTGTCTACTAATCAGATGTCGCTTCCTTACTTAAAACTCCTTTTCCCTCATTGTATTTAAAATAAATTCAAACCCTCTAGGACCCACCACTCCAATTTCCCCACATGCTAATCTCTTCTTCTCTCTGTGATTCTTCTCATTTGGTCTCCTTTATGTTCGGAAATGTGGCCAAACTTTCTACCCACGTAAGAGACTTTTCATTTGTATTACCTCTGCCTGAAATGCTTCTCTCCAGGTTGTTCACAAAGAAAGTTCTAGATTTCAGTGCAGTATTACTTCAGAGAGTCTTCCATGATTACTATTGATCACACACCATTTTGTCAATTCCCTTCATGGAATTTATCACAATATAAAATACCTGTTCCTTATTTATGTCCTTCTCCATTAGAATATAATCTCCTTGAAGACAGTGACTGTCTTTTCTGGTTGTTCACTAACATACCCCCAGGTTCTAATACCGTTCCAGGCACATATTGGGAAATAAGTAAATACTCACTGGAATGTGCTTCTTGATTGATATATATATATATATATATATATATTGAATGAAAAATAAAGTTTACTTTTTTATTTTGATGTTGAATGAAAGGATGAGTTTGCTTTTAGGACATCAGGGATATATACAGAAATCCACTCTTTCAAATTAAAAAGAGATCAGGAGATGAAGACTTACATGAAATGGGGGTATGCAATACTATTGAGTTGGATACAAGGCTTCGCTAATGACTTCCTGAAGAAAATTTCTAGGATCATCTTTACTTAAGGAACTTGGGTAAACCTGTATTCCAGAAGAAGGACCACTAGGGGGCGGCATGCACATTTCCTCCATCTGACCAATGACTGATGTAATTGCTGATAAGCTCTTAGGAGACTGTGGAGGAGACCATTATCTACAAACTCCTTCATCCTACTGCCATCTGTGCGGATGGGTTGGCTCTGAAGTACTTTAAGCCATCTAGTCCCGGTGAAACCATCTCCAGAGATAAACTAAAGAAGAAGCACTACTCACTCTTAATTACCTCCTTTTGCAAACATTCTTAGTTTTAGTTATCATAGTTTTATTTTCAGGCATAACTCAAGATCTTTCTCCTTGAAGACAATTTCTGTGACTCAGTCCTTCCCCACCACTACAGCACACAAAATCTTTACCTCACAATTTCACACTCCACCAGACCCTTCTACAAGTTTTAATCAACTTCTGTTTTCCTAAAGGTAGCCTGGGGTCACAGAAACAATGGACACTGGCAAGCTAGGAGACCTGGGCTTGAGTTCTGGTTTGATCACTTACTAGCTGCATAGCTCAAAAGAAATCATTTCATCCTCCTGAGTCTTGCTACCCACATCCATTAAATGGGGATGCCAACGTCACCGCTCTTGCAGTTTGGCTCCAATTAATGTATATGCTGCATGTTTTTCTAAACTCAAATGTGTACAGATCTCAGTTGCTATCAATAATGGTAATATTCCTATTTTCTCTTTTGCTACCTTTCACAGTGATGAGATCAGTTTGGGGGCACACAGGAAGTCCTTTAAAAGGGTAGTTAAACTGAATTTGAGCACTCCAGTTATGTTTCTTTATCAGTTATGTTCCCTCAGTGACCTGCCAATACCCATTCTTCCCAGCCTCTTTAATGGAAAAGCCAATACTGGATCTGTGGGCTTGTCGTTCCTCCTGTGTGACTGATAAGTGCTCATATGCAAGGATTAATCCTTTTGGGTCTATGCCCATTCAAGGTCTTCCTACTCCCCTTGCCACTGGTTGGTTCAGGAAAGGGCATTAAAATCCTGTCATAGTAAATGAGAAGAGAGGGAGGTCTTTTAAGGGACTGCAGGGGAGGGACGAGGAGCTGCAGCAGAAGACCCTCTTCTGCCCCTCTAGAACACTGTGTCCAGTGGGATGCTCGGGACTGCGTTAGCCTTCTTTTTACACAGAGGAGCCAGTCTTACAGTTAAGCTTACATAATGAGTATGTAAAGAGATGGAAAGGACCTATTTCCAGACGACACTGAGTTACTGATTGTACTGAGCCCAGAGTTGCTCTTTCTCTGTGCTTCTTATGTGAGATAATGAATAAAAACAACGATTAACCAAACTGAATCAAAAGTTCTTGATTAAGAGGTCTTGGTCTTCAAATTACAAATACAACTTCCAATCAGAATTTCTTGGGACTGCCACCTAATGAGGACTTCTTGATAAGTACACAGTGCTTGTTTTATGTGTAATGGAGTCTAAGAGTTTCTTTCTTAAGACTTTAACCTCCTTTTGAAAGGTTCCTGAACAAGCACAAGATGGAAAATATAAAGATACAATTTTCATATTTATAACTCAACTATTCGGAAATTATGAATCTAAGGGATTTGGGAAGAAAATAAAAGAACAGGGAAACTAACGTTTGTTGACCGTCTATGTACCAGGTACTCTGAAGCATGTTCACCTTTATTTCATACATTTAATCTTCACAGTATGACAAAGTATATCAACTGACTTTTTAGATAAAGAGAATGAAGCTCAAATAGATCACGATTTATAGAAATGGCATTATGGGTTTCAAAGTTGGTTGGCTCCAAGGCTTTTATTTCTACTACTCTATGCTGTGTGAAAAATGCCGATGAACTGGGGGCCAATTTTTAAGTATATTTTGGCTTTGAGCTAAGTATCAATGCATATACCTAGATACAAAAAAAAAAAGACCAGTAAATTTACATTTTTGTGAGGTAATTTGGCAATATGAATCAAGACCCTTGAAAATGAGATCTTTTAACCTCACGTTCATTTCTGAGAATTCTACCCAAGGAAATAATTAATGATCTATGCAAAGATTTAGCTATTTCAATATTTATCAGTGTTGTTTATAATAGAAAGAGAAAAGAATAGCCAAAAATGGGGGAATAATTTTTGAAAACTTCAGAACATGTACGGTTTGTGATTAAAACCGTGCTTCTAAAGAGTACATGAGTATGTACAGAAGTGCTTAATACTTTTCATATAATAAAAACAGTTTAGTGATTAATAATATTGTATCAATGTTAATTTCTTAGTTTTGAAAAAGAGACCTTGGTTGTTCCAGATGTTAACATTAGGAGAAGCTAGGCAAAAACTGTACTACTGTCTTGGTAACTTTTCTGTTTACCTAAAATTATTCTAAAATAAAAGTTTTTTAGGTTACCAAAATATGTGCGTATCAACCAGATTCTGGGCAAGTTATATATATAGATACCTACATATGTATGTTTGCACTGGAAAAATGAATAAAAGATATATAGGAGATGTCAACAGTAGCATACAGGCAGTGATGTGAGAGAGGGAGACAACTCTGTGTGCAAATCCCCTGGTCAGCATCTCTTAGCCCGGGGGTGGAGGGGGTGTGGTCCACGGTAGGCTTGTGAGATCTGTCTCTCAAGACTTAGAGAACCATCTCTAATTCCTCTGCTTTTCGATCTTCCTCCACATGACACATTTTGAGGTGGAGCACTATGAGCAATACGTGCCATGAGCCTGTCCTCTGGCTAAGAAATACAGAAGCTTCAACTGGGTGACACAAGGAATGTCCCAGGAAGAGGTCTTAAAACCATTTCGTGCTTAGAGTGGCTCAAAGTGAAATTTGCAAACTGAAGGGGAAATGAACAGGTTTGAGCTGCCTGCCCCTGGTAAAGTGTTCCTGGTTTGTTCTCTTTCTCCTTCTAATGGAAACAGAAAGAAATGGGCTGCACTTCATAATGAGGGACCAATCACTCTTATTCCCCTTGGGGCTTGCTGTAATAACATTAAGTATGATGAACTCTTTCCATATTCAATTCTAGTGAGTGTATGATGCGATTCCATAGGAAGTATCTTGTAATTTGGCATTAATTAATGTCAATTAATGCATGCAACTGCTAGACTTTAGAATTAATTTCATTACTTTCCCCACACAGATGTTTTCCTTGCCATAGGTAATTAGGGCCCTGGGGGCTCTTCACAGGCATCCTCACTCTTAGCAACAGTTGCTGCTTAGCGTCACACAGTTCCCACCCCTGCAAAATCTGTGATCTAGAGAAAGGCCACCTTTCAAGGGCCAGGCTTTGAGCAGAGGGACAGGGCTTTAAATGCAGGTTCAAGGCCTGCTAGCTTGGTAAACCTAAGCAGTGCCTGCACCTCTCTCAATGCCGATCTGTAAAACGGCGGCCGTGACGAGGGAAGAGCTCAGTCATGAAGGGCAAAGAGTCTGGTGCCAGGCTAGTCTGTGCTCCAGGAACGGGAGCTGGGGCTGCTACTGAGTG